AGCGAAGAGGAGGAAGATCCCGAAGAAATTCGGGCCAGGGTCGATAGACTCCTGAAACTCCAGCCTAGGACAATCGACCCCACGGCCTTGAAAAAGGAACAGGATGACGATAGTGATTCAGGAGATAGCGAGGATGAAGAAGCTCCAACGGCATCACGCTCTGGGAAAACACAAGGCTCTGGTAAAAGGGGCCAAGGTGTGAAGCGCAAACGTACACTCGTTAAGATGGCCAAAGTCTGGGATGATAGAAAAGAGTTCGGCATAAATAACACCACTCAACAAAATTGGACGATGGTCAAGCTTCCCCTTCTCCATGCATTCTCATTCAATCGACTTGTTATTGATGAGTTCACTTTTGCGAACCCCGAACGACTGGTGCCTCTTCTCAAGCTTCAGGCTCGTTCGAAATGGGTTCTATCTGGGACACCGCCGCTGAACGACTTTGCTGATGTCAATACGATTGCACCCTTCTTGGGCATCCATCTCGGTATCGACGACGACGATATTCAGTCACAAAACGCACGACTTAAGATGATCCGCAAGCAGCGATCAGAAGCAGAATCTTTCCAGGCGCTCCGGGCCCCTCGGAGTGAGGAATGGCATCGTCGACGACACGATATTGCACAGAGATTCTTGGACGAGCTCACTCGTAAGAATGTTGCAGAGATTGATGAGATTCTGTCATCAGAACATATAATTCTCATCCAGCAATCACCTGCCGAGACAGCGATTTATCTTGAGTTGTGCAAGCAGTTGATGACATACAACCGTTTGGGTCGTCGAGGTGGCAGAAAGGGTATCAGGGGTGATCAAGAAGATAGACTGGATGAAGTGATTGGAAGCAGCAAAACAAGCGAAGAAGCCCTTCTCAAACGGTGTTCATCTCTCGCTTTGCAGGGCCGCTGGCACAATGGTGTACCTGAAGCTCTCACCTGCAGCTCGCTGATTGAGACTCGATTGAAACAGCTCGAGTGTCTCAAGGAAGAACTCATGCAGAAGTTCAAGCACGCTGCGTGGGTATACTGTGCTTGTGACCTGAGATATGAAAAGTTCCACGAGTTCATTGAGAGCATAAAGGCGCACGACTTTGGTGACAAGACTGTGACGGAAAAGATATATCCACTCATTAAGAGTGCAATGCTCACTTCAAAGACAGATGACTGGAGGCTATTCTTTTCTCATCCAGCACAGGTTGCTGAGGATTTATCTGATGCAGAAATGCAGGATGAGACTGGGCTGAAAGAGGATAATGACGATGCCGGAGAAGAGGTGAGCTCTGACAAGACTTCACAAGGGTTGAATAAAAGATTGAAGCTAACAAAGAATGACAAACAGGCTAGCGGACAAGCTTCAAAGCATGGTACAAAGGGTGCAAGGACTGTTAAGCAAGGTGGGAAGAAAGAAAAAGCACCAGAACTTCCAGTCAAGCCAACCCACATCAGCGAGTTCAAGCTCACGCTGCGAACAGTCACGAGTGGTCTTCGAAAGCTGATCCTTGAGTGGGTGGCACGGGAAAGAGCGCTCAGGTTCTTAGAGGCACTACACCTTGTTCAGACAGGGTCAGAGATTGCTGTATGCAGTTCCTGTCATACGAAAACAGAAAAAGCGAACCACATAAACATACTGGGCTCATGCGGTCATGCCCTATGCTCAGAATGCACCATGAAGACGGTTCAGAAAGAAGAGTGCAACGTTGAAGGCTGCCGGGGTTCTGGAAAAGAATTCAATGTCATGGACGCGTCTACTCTTATGCGCGATGAGAAGGACAGAATCACCAAATACGGCGGCAGCAAAATGGACAAGATGATCGAAATCATTCAGGCAGTGTCCACAGGCGATCGAGTCCTCCTCTTCATCCAGTTCCCCGAGCTTATAGACGTCGCATCCAAAGCTTTAGAACTGGCAAAGATCAAGTACACTTCAATCATAGCAACTGACCGCAGGGCAGCACAGAAGGTCCAGAACTTTCAGGAAGCCGGTGGCTTTGGTGAAAACAAAGTGTTGATTCTAAACTTGGGCAGCGAGATGGCTGCTGGGTTGTGAGTTGACTGTCAACTTGTGTCTCAGTTTTTACTAACAGATATTAGAAACCTTCAGTGTGCAAACCACGTTATATTTCTCTCGCCTATGTTTGCTCAGACCCAGTACGACTATGATTCGTCGATGACCCAAGCTATCGGACGAGCCAGACGATATGGACAGGCCAAGCATGTCTACATATATCATCTGCTGGCAAGGATGACAATCGACACTACCCTCTTCCAAGGCCGTCATGGGAAAGTGCTGGTCGAGAGAGATGGCGAGGCCACCCTCGCTGCGAGGGAGGAAGTTGAGGAGTGGGAGGTGGTGAAAGGAGAAGTGATGTCTGTTGTGGTAGACAACGCGTTCTAATGTGTGAGACAAATCTCGCTTAGGATACACGTGATTCTTTCTTTTGTGTTTTTGCGTGAATGCATGCACTTGGTTCTAAAAGAAACCTGTTTGAGTTGTGCGGGCAGAGCAGTTGTTGGCTGGCAGAGTTGGTGAATTGGTGAATGGGGGTGTCCAAGAGGCTGCCGGAGACCGAGATCCCGATACTATAAGCATTTCACCCATGCACGGATATAGGGAAATAGAGCGGGTATGAAAGGTTATAGACATTAGATAAGACAGCTTTAGGGAAAGCATTAGAACAGAGAAACAAGAAAGGTCATATCAACCACCCATCCCTCAAACTATCCACTCTCATTATCATCCATGCGGAGATCATATCTTCCAGATCACAGTCAGGTATGTACTTATGCATGTGTGTATTTCCCAGTCTCCTACAACCTGCATATTCCTGCATTCGCTGACCTGCCTGTGTCCAGAATCTCCTCGACCAAACGTACGCAAGTCCTCGCACATCCAACCGCAAGAGTCCATCCCGACCCACCGTGGCCATAGTTATGAACGATCCTGCATGTATTCGCTCTACTATCAGCGGAGACTCTGACATTCAAGTATGAAAATGGGCGCAAGCCTTGTGCAAGAGACTGTGCCTCGTGGTCTGCATCCTTGAGGACCGGTAGGAACTCAGTCGCCCGTTCCCACATCGCCTTGACTTCAGGAGAGTCAAGGGAGAGATTCAGCTGCCAGTTGTTGCGTTGAGTGATTGAGCCAATCACAAGCGTATCATCGTTACGAGGAACAATGAAGACTGTCTTGCTCACCGAGCCATCCTGGTTTATTTGAGCCGGAAGAAGGAACGCATGGTCCACTGGATATCCCTCCGGCCTCTTGATTTTTCTGACTGCTCCACGGACGGGGAAGATCTGAGGATCATTTGCAAGCTCACGAGCTCCTATGCCGCTTGCATTGACGATGATATCGGCATTATATTCGCTCAGCAGCTCTTGCTCATGGAGGCGGAGATCACCCTTAATTTGTCTAGTCTCTAGAACTGCCCCTTTGCTTTGAACAAGACTCATCAGAAACGCCATGGCAACATCGGTATCAATCATGGGAGCTGCATGCTGATATGCGCAAGCAACACCAAACGGTCTCTTCGGGTCCACTAAATCTGCCAACCCTTGTGATTTGACTTTCCTTCGTCCATTGACATCAGCCATGCAATGATGCTTGACTTTCAATTGACCTCTGAAAGGAGAATCCACGCTCTCATCCAGTGTCTTCATCTCAAAATACTTGTCATAATGCCTGTCATCACGGCCATGGACACGGGACTCGTCCTCAATTGGCCGTTGAAAGAACTGAAACAAGGTCTTCATCTTCACCCCAAACTTCCCAACTCCAGAAGTCCGTTCCAGACCATCACTCATATGCTCATCCCGGTCCGCCATCATCTGGTAGAACTCAAAACTCTGCATAGCCCACTCCCGATACTGCTCCAGAGTTGAGTACCCGAACAACGGGGTCTCAATCTCAGTGATCCCACACCCACCAGGAGGATACTCCCACAGAGCGCCAGCAATCTGCGAAGTCAACGGCTTCGCAAGACTTGCCCATTCCTTAGACACAATGGTGACGCTGTAACCCTTGTCAAGAAGGATCCACGCCGTCATCAGGCCGCTAACGCCACCTCCAATGACAAGAACATGCTTGGAGCGGTTTTGCACTTTCTTGGGGATTTCTGGTGTCTCTGAGGTTGTGGAGAGCGTTAGCTCTTCCGGATAGCCTGGGTTGGCCTTGAGGGTGATTCTTGTAGCCATTGGAGGAAGAAATGCTTGAACTGAGGTCCAGATTAGAGAGAAATGGCTCTTGGTCTCTATACCTTACACCAAGTGTACAGATAGGAGACACGGTTCGCTCCTTTTAAAAGCACTTCTTGTGCTCGCAAACAGGTATCCTTATCAACCCACATCATGTCAGACCATAGTTATGCATAAATATGGTTTTATTGATTCCTTGGGAAGCGATCGCTGGTTCAAAAATAGAATTTTCCTCTTTCCAAGCATTTCAGCAACTCCACCACCACAGCAGTGCACGCAGTGCAATCAGCTAATATCCATCGTTCTGGTAGATCAATTTGCTTAGAGTAGCCCTCCAGCATGGTTTTGGATTCTCATCATCCCCTGAGTGTTCTACGCTGTCTCGGTGTATTTGTGGGGCATGGCATGTATAACACAGCGTGATATAAGCCTTCACGTTACGCCGTACAGAACGATCATCGGGCGAATGGCAAATAGCAATTGGCCTACGCAATTGCCATAGGATACCATATACTGTATTTCGTCTCCTGCAGAATCTAGGCTTCTGAGGCATGTACAACCCGGTCTGGACTCTAACCCTATCCGACTTCACCCGTGGGTCAGGTTACTGCTTGCTCAGTTGTCTCGGTAGATAGCCTGGTTGACGATCTGGGGGAGGGGCGTGTACTTTTTTGATTTGTTAGGGCTGGGGATCCTTACGTTTAATCTTACATCTATTGTACGTATCATGGACTGTTCCCTGGGTCTGTTCGGGAACTGACATACCACATAGGTTGTTGCGAACATTCCTTGTAAGGGGAATATCAAGGATTCGAAAAACGAAAACTGCATTGGGTACTGCTAAAAAGAACTTCTATGGTAGTCTCTACCATCCATGTTTGACTTTTTCCCCAGAAGAAAAACATCAAACAAGCATACTGTACACAATCGACATCTGGCGGTCCTGTCCCGTGTCTACCGGCCAGGGGAAATAAACTAGAAACGCGAAAGGATATTCCTGACTCCAACGCATTGAGTCAGGGGGAGCTTCTTGAGATGAAATTATGGTTTGTCATATATTTATTGCTGCTGAGGCTGATCCAAGGCACCGTCCTTTCTCATCATTGTCTCCGGATCCCACACAGGGTTCTTCAGGTTTGTCAGACCGGCGCTGTTCTCACAGGTGTCTCTTCCACTCATTGGGCCAGGGGCAGGAACCTGGACGGACTTTCCGGCGTCGGACTCCTTGAGTGCGGTGAGAAGAGTCTTGATGGACTCGGGAGTAAGATCCTCGTAGTAGTCGTCGTTGATCTGGACCATAGGGGCGTTGACACAGGCGCCCAGACACTCGACCTCGAGCAAGGTGAAGAGTCCATCCTCGGTGGTGTGTCCAGAGGTGATGCCGAGGTGTTCCGTAATGGCTTCAAGGATCTTGGTGCTGCCGCAGCCTCCGAGCTGGCATGGCGTCTGGTCCCGAAAATGTCAGCAGATGTACACTTATTAAACCACCCCCGTAAAAGACAATGGTTCTCATACCGTTGTGCAGAGCTGAACAAAGTATTTGCCAACAGGCTCACGGTTGTACATGGTATAGAAAGTAGCGACTTCGTAAACACGCATGGGGGGCATCTCCAGGAGGCGGGCGACCTCGTTCATGACGCTAATGCTGGTGAAGCCGTGCTGGCGCTGGCCCAGATCCAAGAGAGGCATGACGGCGGCCTTCTTGTACTGGGGAGGATAGCGCTTAAGGATCTCATCGATCAATCGTTGGTTCTGCTCGTTGAACGTGAACGGGATGCTCGGGTTGTTGTTCGGCTTGTTGCGGTGCTGGGATCCTATCGATCAGCAAAGACACGTTCACAAAAAGCCCTCTCCTCCTCTTTGCACCTATTGAGAAGAGATAAGGCGTCCGAGGAGGCTGCGACCGCCAATATTTTTCAATGTGCTATCGCAAAGATAACGTGAACATACCACGGAAAGGGCGTCGCTGCAACGTTGCGGACCAGCCGAGAACGGTCTGCATTGAGTCTTGGGGGCGCGCTGGAAGAACTGGCGGCCGACCCGAGGGACGGCGGGGAAGAATTTGGAAGCCATTGCTGGCGGGAGAGAGGGGATATGAGTGGACGGGGGAGGAGGAGAGCGACACTGATGGATTGATTATTGAAGGTGGACGATCGATTTGGAGTCGAAGAGTCGTTTTGCGGGAGCTGCGGTCAGCCAATCAGCGACGACAGATTACTCCCGCCTTGTGTGCCAATCATTCATTACTAACCAGAGGCCATGTTGGATATCAACTACAACTACGGAGTACTACGAATACTACTACATGAGACTGATTTCACAATCTGGATCGGAATTACCACCAAGAAACCCATTGGTACCGATGCGTGACTAACTTAGTCTGTCTTCATTGAGACCCCAATCAATCACAACTGTAAACGCCCGTCATGCATATAACATCGTCATCATTATTGACCATCAACTCAACTTCCCTCGGTCCTGAGTACTAATCCTATAGTGACGACGACCCTTTCATACATCCTCAAGTTTATAGACCTCATAAGCGACCTCCTCATACGGATGTGCCTTGATCAGTGCATCTACCGCCTGCAACATGATGCTCCGACCGAAACACATCACTTCGACCTTCATCTCCTCCACCGTCTCTAGCGCTCCTGCAGCTCCGATCGCAGGATTAGCCTCATCCGACGGCAGGAATTGGCCTTGACCCGGCATCTGGAAGCAGCACTTGGTATATTTGCCGCCCGGGAAGGTCCCTGCCCCGGTCGCAAAGATGGCCTCTTTACACGCTTCGAGATGGGAATGTGGGACAAAGAAAACGAGTTTGTAGCGGCCTGAGGCTGAGGCTGAGGACATGGTTCTTCGTTGATAAGTGTAGTTGGTGACTTTTGCGGCGGTTGTAGAGCGTGGAGAGGAATGGAGAACAGGAGTGGCTGGTAGCTGACGGACGCAACGGATGGGGTTGTGTAGGGGTCGCAAGACGGCTCTGCAACCTATCAGGATGAGAGCGGAGGGGATGGTTGGGCGCATTTGCCTATGATCCGGTCAATATTGCTCATGAATTAAGAAGTACCCTATCTTTGTTGGGTATTCCTACATTTATTCGTCCTTGTTCTTGGCAACTGGTGTTGAATGTTAGTAATCTTTGCGTAGACGTCTTCAAAATGTGGAGTTCAGTCTGCAAAGCAAGTTAAGGAGCCCACGATTGCTCCTATTTAGTTGATCTTATCTTTCTTTCGAAAGATGTATTTCCATCTTATTTGTTATTCACTAATTAGATGGGTCCCTTATGCAGTTAGGGTATTCTATTCCAATGTATCGTACGCATCATACATACCGAACTTTAGAACGCAATCCTACACAGAGATATAAAGGCTGGTATAGCCATTTAACAAATTTTGCTTTCCATCTACGCCTACTGCTATATGATAACAGGAAGGAGAATCACTATAAAGTACAACAGGCTCATATGATCTACAAAGTCCAAATACCTCGCAATATACTAAATACAGCATTCGATTCAACCCCCGCAGAACCTCTTTTGAGAGTAGGTGTGAATAGCATGCACCGGGCGCGAGTCCTTGTCGAAGTTATACTGACGTCTGTCCAGAAAGCCAGTATATATATTTGTGATGGAAATCTTCATTTCATGCGCGAAGTATTGTACACCAGGAGGAAAATCCACACGCTCAAACACCAGTAACATGTCTCTGCACATGATCGTCAATACGCTTCAACAGCTCAGCCTTCCTCTCCTCCCCAATCCAGCTGCCCTTAATACTATTCTCAGCAATCACCCTCCACTCATCCACCGTAAGCTGGAACGCCTCCTGCACAGCACAATAATTATCCAGGATATATCCTCCGAAGTACGCCGGATCATCACTATTGATAGAGAATATAACACCCGCATCCAAAAACTTCCGAATAGGGACCTGCGCGATAGACTCGACGCACCGCAGCTGCAGATTCGAAATCGGGCAAACCGTTAACATAACCTGATCCCTCGCCACCTGTTCCAAAAGCACAGGGTCCTCCACAAGCCGAATACCGTGGTCGATACGCTGCGCGCCCAGCTCCAGCGCAGCCCTGATATACGACGGATCACCCTCCTCACCGGCATGAGCCGTGAGCCTGATCCCCTTGGCCGAGGCCGACGAGTACAGCTCCCGGAACATGTCCTTGGGGGGCCCGACTTCCGTCGACGACCAGCCAAGTCCATGGACGACCTCGTTTTCGAAGTGTTGCTGATCCAGGGCTTCCTGGTACACCCGTGCGGCGTTGTCGACGGGGAGATGGCGCACGAAGCATAGGATGAGACGGGTCGTTAGCCCTAATTCCCTCTCGGCGCGCTGGCAGCCAGCCACGAAGCCTGAGACGATGGTCTCGTAGGGGATGCCGCGGTCTCGGTGGACTTGCGGGTCGAAGAAGACTTCTGCGTGGTGGACGCCGTCGGCGTGGGCTTTTTGGAAGTAGGCCCAGGCGAGGTCTGCAAAGTCGGACTCATGGTGCAGCACTGACATGCCGATGAAGTAGAAGCGGAGGAAGTCGTCGAGAGATGTGAAATGGCCGTAGCGGTGGCTAAGAGTCTCGATGGACTCGTAGGCTGGTTCATCGGGGAGTGAGACATTGTTTCTCTGGGCTAGTTCGAAGATTAGGTCGGGGGCTAGACAGCCTTCGAGATGGACATGGTGCTCGCATTTGGGGAGACCGTGCAGGAAGTCGTGGAGATCGGATTTACACATTCTTGTCTTGAGACTGTACGGGCTGATCGCGGAATATGATATGGCAATAATAATCTAAAATATGGGAAGGATGGTTATGTACAGAACGAGGGTCCTATGCAAGAGAGTATATAAAAAGGAAGAATATAGTGGCCTGTGACCTTCGATATGCCGATCTGAAGTTTGACTCAACTACTAATTAAACGGATCACGCATACAAACGGACGAAGAATCTTAAAATTTATCTCCTGCTGGATTCAAATTTCAAAAAATACAGTAGTTAAGTGGGTTCACTGAGCTAATCAGAAGCCAATTTTGGGCCATGGCGTGACAGTATTGGATCTCAGAAAAGGGCAAAATTTTTGCATACAGCGGAGGTACGGCTTGTTTCAAATCTGTGAAATTTAAATTCAATCTATATATCTTTTAAGACCCACATGACTTCCACCAACTCTTCAGTCCAGATAAGACGCAATCTGATAAGCCGACCTTAGCCCTAGTATAATCGCATGAGGGGTCGGAGACTTCCGATTTCTGAGCGCCGGAGAGCGGAGACATAAGAGAATAAACTACTGTTATCTTCGTGGGGATCATCTCAATTCGTAGTTGAATTATAAACACAATAGTAAACTCTATCTATAACCAGGTACCAGGGAGAAGGAGAAAAGAAATGTAACCAGAGCATCGTCTACCCTTTTAGCATAAAGTCTATGCATTTAGACTCGCAATTCTGCCCCCGCAGCTTTACGGAGACGATTCATGACGGCAGCTGCGCGGTCACCTTGTTGGTCTGAGATTCCCTCTACATAGATGACATCCACTTCCATTTCATCCATGGCCCGCAGTGCGGCAAAGAGCCCGCGCGCAATGGACTCGACGTCGGGTCCGAGATGGCAATCAAAGGCCTCCTTGAATGCAGGACTACGGCCAGAGTTGCCCCTGATTGGAACAGAGAAGCCTGCAAGGCCGTCAATCAATGACGGAAGGGGTTTGAGGGTTTTCTCGATCTCTTCATCAGACAATAATCCGAGACCCCGCTTCCAGTGCTTCGTTCGTACAATACCGATCATATGTGCCCCAATCGCCGTGTCTTCCAAGTCCTTGCGGATATGCTTGGTCACAGACTGCTCCTTGGAGCCAGCCTCGAAAAGTACTACACGTGCCTTGGGAGAATAGTGTCGGTATTTCATACCCGGTGCCCGAGGGATCTCTTTGACGTCGAGAGTACCATCATGGTATCCAAGTTGTACATTTTCCCATCCCGCGCATGCCCGGATCTCTTCAATGCCAATACCGCCTGGTCGCAAGATTGCTGGTGGATCACACAGGCCATCAACCACAGTACTTTCAACACCGACGCCGCATAAGCCACCATCAAGAATTAGCTCGATACGGCCCTCAAGATCATGATACACATGCTCCGCCGCTGTCGGGGATGGTTTGGTCGATGCGTTCGCCGAGGGAGCCGCCAGCGGCCGGTCCGCAACATGGATCAACAGCCGTGCAAGCGGCGAAGAAGGCATGCGCGCCCCAAACGTCGTCAATTTAGAAGTAACTTCCTTCGCCAGAAGCGATCCAGATGGGTTAGGAAGAAGAATCGTAAGAGGACCTGGCCAGAAACGGGCAATCAAAGACTGATAGACGGAAGGAATTGAGTTTCTTGGGCTATCGGATGCGCTCGTAGAACCCGATTCCTGCGGGTTGAGTAGCCGCTCCAACATTTCGAGTGAGTCGATATGCACAATTAACGGATTGTCCGACGGTCTCTGCTTGGCCTTGTAGATCCCTTGCACCGCATCGCTTCGTGTCGCATCGGCGCCCAACCCGTACACTGTCTCTGTAGGAAACGCAACAGGGATATTGCTCGTCCGGAGAAGTTGAGCAGCCTCCTCGATCGCGGTAGCTTCTGGTGTTTTGTTGCTGCGCTCACTATCCCACCATTCTGAAAGGGACTTGGCCCCAGGGCCTTCTTTGTTCAATCGACGGACCGACAAGATCCGAGTGTTCTCCTTTGACGACATGGTGGTGGTAGTGCTCAAAAACCTCGTAAAGCTGCGCGGACAGCCGCCAGCGACAAGGCGAGAGACGAAGGACACCAGCTTCGCTGATATAGTAGGCGAAACTTCAGAAGTACGGACGAGTTGTCGCGGGGTGACTCAAAACGCGAATAGATTGGGTGGTGGGGGAAAGCGTTTTCGGCCCTACAAAGCCTTATTTGTTAGGTAAATTCCAAGTGGAGTCCGTCCAGACCAGACGCCCCTCCTTGAGGGACTTACCAAACTAGATAGAGATTTTGCGAAATGTCTGATAGTCGCCAATTGCGGCCTTTGAACCAGCCGAAAATTTGATCTTGCCGATGACGTCGTTTTGCATGTATGACTAAGCTGTTTGACTGTGTATGCAATCAATGCGTAACGATTCAACTCTGATATAGCATACCTAGTAGTACTAAAGCACTTACTCTCCAAATGAAGATGGAAGTCTGTATGAAAAAAGTGCCTTCGGGGAGGCTCAGAGTGAAAGGATTTCGTTCGCGGATCTTCATTGTGACCCGGGCGTTGATTCAGGATGGTGGACTTTACGACCATCCAAAGTGTATAGATAGTCAGTAGAAGACTAGTAATAATACAACATGCCAAAGGCTATGTACAAGCTCGTAGTATAGATTTATTTCTTCTTTCCACCCTTTCCGCCTTTGTTACCGCTGCCACCACCTTTACCTTTACCTTTACCATCGCCTCCGCCGGCTCCAAGCATAATTCGCACTTTCCCAACAGGAACGCTGTTGATGATCTCAGTCTCTTTCCATGCCTTGATCACATCACCTTCTCGGGCCCGGAGTTTCTCTGCATCAGCGAGACTGATGCCAGCTTCCTCGGCGTATTCCTTCTTAACCTTGCCGGTGGTGGTCTCAGCCACCCATCGTCCGAGTATCTCCTTGACAGCCTTACCCTTCTTCACCGTACCTGGCTGCAGTTTGACCTTGTATCTGTATCGACTCAATGATGCCCAGGGAGCACAGACTGGAATGGCTGCAAGGATCTCGTCCTCCGGACGAGGCGTTCCAATCAATGCTGGAATCCACTCAAGGTCTGCTGCCTCTGCGGCAGCCGTCTCTTCGTCGTAATCATCACCACCTTCCTCAAGTAGGGCCTGTCGTCTGCGTTCGGCTTCTGCAGCACGCTCATGCTGCGCCTGGCGACGCTTCCTCTGTGCCTCGGCTTCTTTCTCGCGATTCTCCTTAGCTTCGGCGGCGGCAGCAGCCTTGCTGGCTTTGCCCTTGTTGGCCCCAAGTAAGCGGAGAGCCAGTTCACGATCTTCATCATCCTGCTCAGCGTACTTAGCGGCCGCTTTCTTGGCTTTCCCTTTCTTGCCTCGGGTAGGTGCCGGTGCATGTTTGGCGTTCGTTGCTTTGGCAGTTGAGTTCTTGCCGGGTGCTTGTTGGCCAGCCTCGGACGAATCAGGGGACTTCCCCTTCCGAGGCGATTGCCTGGCCGTTGCGGAGAGCTGGTGTTCGCTTTCCTCTTCTACCGGAGCGCTTCCATCTTCCGCTGGCGCATCATCCGAAGCTGCCTCTGCTTCTTCCTCATCCAACGCATCCGCTTGCTCTTCTGGCTTATCAGTAACATCTTCAGCATCCGATCCGGTATCCTTTTCTCCCTTCTGCGCGACCTCAGTATGAGGAGACTCCGATGGCCCACGCTGTAATGGGTTTCGAGCGGGAAGTGAATCAGCATTGTCTTGTTCATTCTCTGAGTCCGAACTTTGCTCTTCAGCTTGTTTTTTGGGCTCCTCAGAAGGCTTATGAGCTTCGCCTGTTTCCTGTTGTTGCTCAGAGCGCTGTGTGCTTCCCCCGGCTTGCTCGTGACTACCCGCTGCGGGTGACTCGGCCGCCGCAGGCTCGTCAACAAAGTGAGTTTTGTGGTTTTTCAGGCTGTCTTTGCTAATTTGGAACGTCACTCCAAACCCTAGAACGAGTTGCGACGGGGCCAGGAAATTCTTCTCTCCCTTGACCAAGAAATCTCCCATAGGAAGAAGCCCTCCCGCTTCAGCAGTTTTTGATATTTGACTAGCCTGGGCCCACCATGCAGACATGACAGCTTTCGAATCCCAAGCACTCGATGTAGCAACGCATAAATTGCCAGCCTGTGAAAGGGTGCTTGGTGGTATAGGCGCGTCAGGGTTTTTCGATCTATTCTTGACAATCATGGGTCGAGCTCCTTCCAAATCCGCATGCACGAAGATATCCCCTTTCTTAAGATGACGGCGGTAGAGCAACTCGCTCTGCATAGCGTCTCGGCCACTGCAATGGTTAGCAGATATCCATATGAAGGGGATAGTGACAAAACTTACCCCAAGACGAGGTATCCCTCCGAAGAGATGAAGAAAAGGAACTTCTCAAACCAGAAGGGCTGTCGGGTTTGCCGGAGAGTTTGTTTCTCCTTTTTCAAGCCCCGTTTGAGGTCTTCCGTTACTTTCTTTTCGTGGCTTTTGAGTGCTTTGGTAGATGACTGGGCCGTCCTTTGTTCCTTAACCGCAGCCTGTTTCTTCTGCTCATAGTACTGCTTCGCATTCGCCCATGGAGAGACACCGAGGTCGATGTCAATAGTCAATACCGATGGGGGTTGTTGGCTTTCGCCATTATCCTGCTCGTCATCGGATTCTTCAGATTCGTCGCTCGAAAATAGCTCGTCTCCCTCATCTTGTTCGTCACCAGCTTCTCCAAGAAGCAGTGTGATCGTGTTTTCATGGAGTTTCAAGGGGAGTTTGATAATTCTGGCCACAGGGTTTCCTCGGCTCTGCTCCATTTCAATAAGACGTGCGATTTCTACCCAGTCCATGCCCTGAGCGATCAGGCCATTAACCGCATCCATGGCTTCTTGGACTCGGTAGACATTATCCTCGATTGCGCCTGCTTTGCGAATATGTAGCTCTTGTTGTTCTTTGAGGGCACCGATCTTTTTCTCGTGCTCTTGTCTCACTGCATCAAGCTTTCTCTTCGCTGCCTCCTCGCGCTCTGTAAGCCGTGACTCCAGCTTCTGGGTCTCGATCGATGAGAAATATTCGTCAACCGTTGCATTCAACGAGGGGAATTCCAAGATGCTAATGCCCGGTTTCCCTTCAAACTGTCGAGGCTTGAAAGGGTGGAAATCCTCGTAGAGAAGGTTGGCTGTCTCCGAAGGCTTCTCATTCTCAGTAGTTTGCTGAGAGACGCTGCGATTGTCTTCTTTTGCAACAATGTAACCAGGATGATTCTCTTGCGTTGAAAGTCTCGTGTTCTCATTCTGGGCTTCTTGTAAAACTCCGTTAACTTCCTGAAGCAGGCTTTCGTCCTGTAGTACCTTATCCAATGGTGTTGTTGGATCAACCCCCTTTGTCGCGAAAGCATGATCCAGCAAAAGGGGAGGGTATTCTGGGAAGCCTTGAGAGAGAGCCTTCCTTAACACATCCGCATTTTTCTTCTTTGACTTTTTCGGTGCTCCGTCCTCATTTGCAAATAGTGCCTTCGCCTTCTCCAGTGTCTCCTTGATCCTCTCTAATGTAATTTCCGGGATACCGTGGTAGTTCTGTTTGTTCGTTACTGTGTATTGAATTCCAACCCTCGCCTCCTCTCCCTCGCTAATAGAGACTTGACGGAATAGAGCCAGAATATTATGTTCGCGGTCGGTGATTATGATGTTTCCTCCCGCAAAGAATTCCAAGAACATGTGGTACATGCCATCGCTGAACGAGATATCAATAACACGATCGGTGCCGATCTGCTTAACCGAAGTGATACGTCGTGATTTAAGGAATTTGCGCATGCGAGTCACGAAGGGGGATGGCATGGAAGCCGTCGCCCGCGAGTATTGGGTGACATGGCATCGGAAGCCTGAGTCGACGATGAGCTGCTTGCGATGGTCTGGTTTTGCAAGTTTGAACAAGAAGATCCTCTTTGGACCGCGACCTGCGTTAGCTGGATATTGGTTCTTGCTGGAAAATCAAGGACCTACCGATGAGAGATCATATATGTTCGACACTCGCAAATTGACGATCTCCGAGGCGAGTTCCTGGGAGATGACCTGGGAGGTTCGTGTGAGTCCAGCCAAGCTCCGTTCAAAGTTACAAGCATCCGCCAAAGCATACCTTAACGTCCAATGACGAGAATCGCTGCTTCATCTTTTTTTTCTAGTTGTAGCTTGGGACTCCAGGAAAATGGGCCAGTACGGCGTAGAATGGCTGGTGGGCAAGAAGTTTGCAAAGACCAAAAAGGTACCAGCGTAGGCAAAGAGCGTGACGTATGCGGGGCAGTTTTTCACTATTTATCGATCGCTTTTCCATGCCATTCGATAGTGTTTTTAACCGCATAAGCCCAGCCCACAAAATTGTGGAGAATATTATGATCGAATTCGGGTATTGTCTACATGTGCTAGAATGCTGTTTGTCTGATCTTCTGCTGCTTTGTTTCTTTTGCGATATCTCGAGACTGCGTGAGACTAGGAATTATCCTCCCCTGCCGCTAAATGACAAGTGTAAACCCGCATCTGATCATGAAGGAGTATCTCTATAGAATCTTCAGGTGTCCCCGGAAGAACAAGAACGAGGCAATCAAATAAATCAATCAACATCGTGAAATAAATAAGCAACACGCACAGTACCACGCCGGGACCAGCCACATAGTATTAAACGAAGAAAGGTAAAATAAGACATCAAATGCATGACCATGCGAGAAATCAACCCAATTTAAACACGCCCAAGTGGTATGTAAGCCCCTCTACATCTGCCGCAAGCCTTCGGCCAAGCGCCGCTTTCCAAGCTCCCAGGCATTGAGCAGGCCTTGTTCGGACAGATCGATGCTCTTCAGATTCGGCGCATCGGCCTGGGGGGCACGGCTCACACGCGAGGAGATAAGAACTGGGTCCGTCTCGAGAATAATACCATCATCAATGATCTCATCGATAGCCAACGCAACAAGATCATAGTTCTCGACAATCGTACGCTTGTCAGTAGCACCCCTATCCCGAAAAGGCAAAACGTTAGTTTCCACCATGCCGTATCCCGCAACACCGAGACCAAGAAACAGGGGGGGAAGACAACATACTTGAACAAGATACCCAAAGCATCCCTCAACGACAGCACGACATTATAAAGCAGGACTTCGTTCTCCTCAGCACCCCCGACAACGTAGAGCATGACATCGCTCTCCATCTTGAAGACAACGATCCGGTTGTCGTATAGGATAACATCGCTGGTCTGCTTGTTGGTCTTCTCGAGGAGACCCTGTTCGAAGGCCTTCTGTTCTTTGAGCGTGGGGTAGGGGTTTGCGCCAGGGTAATCGGTGGCATTGGGGGCAGCACCGGCCGGGGGGTGAGGCGGAGAATAGTATTTGGCGAAGATGCGAGAGCCGTCGTCGGCCGACATTAGGAGGACGGCATTGACGGAGAAGAGAGACAGAGAGCCGGGCATTTTTAATTGGGGTATCCTTGTTTTTTGTTTCTGAATTGCGTGTGTGGTTTTCAGCCTTTGTGTGCTGGTGTAGTTGGTATTATCTATTTACTGTCACGCTGGCCGGTGTCCGGAGGTCGTATTAATGTTGTTCCGGAGTATAGGATGGAGGACACCTTTCTTATTAACCGTAAGTATGTTAAACGGGCTTTTCTTTGCTAAGAGAAAAAGAAGGAGAAAAGGAAAAATGGAGTGAGGTATGCTCTAGAGTTGGATGAGCTTCTGAGAAGAATCGTTTGTAGATCGTATTGAGACATTGTACCTATTTAATTGATATACACAACATGTCCTCAATTGGGATGTAGACAGGACCATCAGAGACAAAGTAGTTTCACAGAAAATTATCACTCTATAAACAGAGTATCTCAATCATATGTTCATCAAGGAGAGGGAGACATAAGCAAGGCCGGAATATCGTCATAATCAATCCTCAGCAAATATCCAACAGTAGAAGTTCCAACGAGCGTCCAAGCATAAACATGGGTAACATGACAAAAATCCCCGATGGCGTGGCCATGAAATGTCAAAGAAACATATATAGTAAGTTATCCAACAACAGATTCATCGCCATCATAAAGTCCATAAGGTAAAACAGGGATTGAAACATGACGACATTCTGAGAGTTCTAAACGCACAAGACCATAAAAAGGAGTAGACAGGGGGCCTTGGAAGGACAAACGCCAATAAGAAAAGAAAATGGAAGAGGAAAACTAAAAGGAATACAGAAGAGCAATTGTCGAGAACTAATAGTTACAGCCAAAGACATCATGCAGGCTTATGCGGAATCACCTGTGTTTGGCCGGTTAAACCAAGGTATCCAACTGCCACGGTTCGCCTTTTTCCGAGCTTCTTCGTCGTCTGCTGCCTTGGTTTCACTGACAAGGCGCAAGGGACGCAGCTTGCTCTGGGTCATCACCGCTCCGGTATAGTTGGTCATTCCGTTGCTAGAGCGAGGAGAGCTCGAGGTGGCACCTGTGGAAGCCGTATCGCCAGGGGGCTCGCTCGTAATACTGTTGGAGCTGCTCATTTGGCTGCGATCGTGTTGACTGGATAGCGATGGGGCGCGGTTACTGCCGCTCATGCCAGACATATAGCTCGCTCCAGATAAGACGCTTGTACGGGATCCAGGTCCCATGAGCGTAGGGCTCATTGGGCCTCCAGAGTTGCGTCCGCGATAAATCTGACCTACCACAGCAGCGGCGGCAACATCAGTCTGCTCTGATCTCGTTCTGCGATGGCCTCTCGCCTGGACACGATTCATGGGGATGCTAGGAGCCGTTTCTGGGTTCTCATGAGCTGTCACCGGGACAGAGGCCGCGCTCGTTGGCGGCGGCATCATGCTGGAAGGACGTGACCGTTGAGGTCGTTGCGTCGGGCCCGCCACCACGGATCTGGCTCTCTGCAAGAAAGACTGGGCATCCTCCTTGTCGGTGGGTGTTGGTGGAAGTTCCTTGTCAGTACTTGCCCGCTTAGGAGGGTCATTCTCGTTCTTGTCCAAAATGGTCTCGAACCCGTCATGTTGCAAGAGACGGCTGATGATGCGCTCGATATAGAGGGTGAGGGCTTTGTTCTGGTCTTTCAGCGCCTTGACCTCTGCCTCGAGCTTGCGGTTGTTATCGTTATCCGCTCTTGCGTCTACAGACTCAAGTTCATCAGCCAGCGAACCCAAACCGCTGCCAGACTCCTTAGTGTCTTCAGCTTCGGGGTGGGCTTCTCGCATGAAGTCGCCCTTGGTGAAGTCACCATTCAGCGTTTTCTCACTAAGGAGTAGCTGGTAGCTCTCGTTGTCCTCCATGAGACGAGCGTTGGCCATACGAGCCTCCAAAAGTTCCTTCTCTAGTTCCCGTTGACGACCGCCACCTTTATTTTCCATCTCCACGAGTTTAATTTGGGACTCGGCCAGTTCAAGGCGGAGGGACTCGATCAATTTATCCTTCTGCAAAAGCAGTGTCGAGTTGCTTCGGGACGGGCTCCGCTCAATCTGAGACGAGGGCGCAAACTGGCCATCGACATCGGGGGAGGACCGATTACGGAAACTGGCTAAAAGCGAAAGTTAGAAACAAAGGCCGGGCGAATGTGGAGAACGAGGGGAGAACCATACAAGAACGAGAAACATTCTTATCTGCATCAGAGTTGATTCGCTCCTTCTGGGCCAGGGAATCCTTAAGACGCTGGATGGTCGCCTGCATCTCTTCTTCCCGGCTCGCCTGCTGCTCCTTCTCTTGAAGCATAGCGTTCCGTTCCAACTCATGCGCCTGTTCCAGGTCACGTATCTGCCGGACATGGTCACGGATCTCACCATTGAGGGATTCTATCTTGCTGTCCCTCTCATGAGCCTGGTCCTCCAGTTTTCCTTGCTCACTGACGGCCTCATCGAGTCGCATCTGCAGGACACCCAACTGCTTCTGGTATTGCTCAGAGGCCGTCTCGGCTTTCTGCAGCTGTTCCTTCAACTCTTCGATGAGGGCAGCATTCTGAGCCCTTGCTTCTTCCTCGGAGGGATCGCGGTTCATTTTTGGAACGCTCGAAGTGCTGAGGTTGGACCGACCGGGTTTCCTGGCCGCAGCCCGCGCTGATACTGGGGCCGAGCCACGGAGAGAGGGAGATCGGGATATACCATTCGTGGTCGTGCTGGGAGATCGGGTATGGCTTCGCGACGGAGTACCATTCACCGTATGATTCTCTGCGGGCGAAGATTTGGTCGAACTGCCTGGCGTTCCAGGCTTCCGGGGTGTTGTAGACATTGTCACCGGCAATGACGATGCTCACAACGAGCGGTGGATTGTAAGAAGAAAGACAACCCAGAAAGGGGCAATTCTAAAGAATTGGAAGCAGTGATGAAACGACCGGGAAATTAAGTGATAAATTTAAGGGTCGGGGAAGGTATATAGTAGTAGCGGTCAAAACACAGTGGACACTATGCCGTAGTGGGGGAAGTCTAGTTTGTTAAGTAGTAAGTAGTAGTCGTAGAATTTATGGCTGGTTCAAAAACTAGCCCCCTAGGTCCAAAACAATAAAAAAAACACAGACGGGAAGGAAAGAAATTTATAAGCAAGAGGAAGGTATAAATATCTATCAGGGAAAGACAAAAAAAGGTGTATCACGTTAGGGATAAATTCCAGAGTCGAGGAAATTCTGGGGATGGGAAAATGGTGGATGGCTGATTATTACAGACATTAGGGGTTTGATGATCCCGTATGAAAACGGGCACCAAGGCAGTATTAAAGTGGGTAAGAAACGCTCCATACAGCGATAATACGTCTGTCTCTGGTGGTTGCTCAGGGAATTTAGTTCAACTTTTAATTAATAGCGCAACTGTGGACAACAACAATTTGCTATTCCGGAGTAGGTGCTTTCCTACTCTCTTGTCTGTTAGACGCTCACTTGCTTGTAAGTATGCATGAACATGAACTACTCCCATGCATGACTTGGGCTGCCCGAGAGACTACCAAGAGCCAAGTATAATACTCCATTCTATTGTTTGCTATTACCACCACGATTACTGTGGTTACTGAAGTGAACAGCATATGCAGAAGGGGCCCTTTCACCGGGGAGACAACTTAACCTCGACACATGGCGGGATAAAGATAGTACAGTAGTCATACCGTAAATCAACAGAGTTCCTTGCTGCGTACAGGGTCTCGCCATCTGTCCATCTTTGAAGAGGAACAAGAATAGAATTTCGTTCACCTGCCACCCAATAAGGAGGTGAATGGAGGGAATCTGCGCCACGTTTGAATAAAAGATAACCGACGCCCAACTGTTCTATCCGACCCTCCATTGGGAGAATTGACCTCAAGCTACGAAGAAATAGGGTTCGTCTGAAGGCAGTGAATGCTGACAGCACATTAGCCACGTCCAATCCGCCCATGGAAGTAGGGCTGTATTTTTCGTAAGATACGGGTTGGATTGTCGGGAGTAGATACAGACCTGATACAGAGTGAAAGTGAGGGTCGCCGAAAGTGGTTGAGGAAAAAAGGCGGGATGACTCAGCAATGACGGACCGGATCAGGAATAGTCCGAGCGAATATAACGCTCTACCGCCAAACCCCACAAAGGAAAGAAAAAAACTCAACTTCACGATAAGGCCGGAGCGCACCTTTTCAGACTACTCTCCCAGCATACCGAACGACTCAGTTCAACAGCGTAACGATGGCCCCCAAGAGCAAGAAGAACGCCGACTCCATCAACAGCCGTCTGGCTTTGGTGATGAAGTCTGGAAAGGGTATGTCAATCTTTAATTTTCATCGTTATTGTGGATTTGGACTCGGTTGCTAACTTCTGGTGCAGTCACCCTTGGCTACAAGTCGACCATCAAGACCCTTCGCGTAAGCTTTTCTCGCACACAATTGGAGGCTTCCGAGACATGAGATGGTTATCTAACTATTAAATAAAGTCCGGCAAGGCCAAGCTGGTCATCATCGCTGCCAACACTCCTCCTCTCCGCAAGAGTGAGCTCGAGTACTACGCTATGCTCGCCAAGGCCCCTGTTCACCACTTCTCTGGTAACAACGTAAGTATCCCTTTGTCGCATATGTTTCTTTGCTCCGACACTGCCAACCCCCTGTCGGGAAGGAAGGTCGTATTGGAGCCGCCCTGAGAAACCGCAATCTTTGGCTGTGGAGGGTACTAGATCACTGACGTTTGCGCGTAACTACAGATCGAGCTTGGTACTGCTTGCGGTAAGCTCTTCCGCACCAGCACCATGACTGTCCTCGATGCCGGTGACTCCGACATCCTGTCCAGCCAGTAAGTGTAAAGCGCGGACAATGTCTTCGTGTTATGTCTGGACGATGTACAAGCCTTTTGAAACGAGGAGGCACGTGATAGATAATGACAAGAACCTTTACACTTATTACCTGTTTTGACTTGATACATTCTTCGTATATATTGGTATATGTAGGATGAGCTTAGTAGAAAGTAGTGGAACGCTCAGTGTGTGGCGACCTGAATTAGCAATCAATATACTTAGACCTTTGGTATTGATTTATCATCTCTATCTGTATCTCTGTATCTCGATCGTCATTCTGTAACTCTGGGATGTCGCCGAAGTCTGACAAATGCGGTCTGGTCGCGGGAGCCGCTGATTGGTGGAGACGGTAGGGTTTAGGGTTTCGCCACTCGTTAGTGGACGCTGCTTGGAAATCAACGTCGGAAGTGCCTGCGCCCAAAAGCCTCCCCTTCCCTTTTGCCCTTCGACACCACCCTTTTCGACAACCTCACCGTTCGCAGGAAGTGCAGCAAGGTCACCTCCAACTCTCAAAATGGCCCGCCGTCCCGCTCGTTGCTACCGCTACTGCAAGAACAAGGTGCGTTGACGGTTTGATGGATTTTTCCCATATTTGTGTGTTCTGTGGATTTTTGGCTCGGAAATTCTCGCTTGTGGGGGGGAAAGCAAAGACGTCAACCACGTCGAAGGATAGAAGGGAAATGAAGATTGTCATCGCGATATTGCTGCGGATGGAAGAACACTGGTTTACATCATCGGTCTATCAAGGATCTTTCACTAACATGATGGTCGCTTCATAGCCCTACCCCAAGTCCCGGTTCAACCGTGGTGTTCCCGACCCCAAGATCCGTATCTTCGATCTGGGACGTAAGAAGGCCAACGTCGATGACTTCCCTCTCTGTGTGCACATGGTCTCCAACGAATATGAGCAGCTTTCCTCTGAGGCTCTCGAAGCCGCCCGTATCTGTGCCAACAAGTATGTCGCTCCTCCTCGAACCCAAGACCAGACGAAAAGACCCATCCGTCGCGAGATATGAAGGAAAGAAACTAACAGGTCCCCTTCTCCAGGTACCTCGTGAAGATCACCGGTAAGGAAGGTTTCCACATGCGTATCCGTGTGCACCCCTTCCACGTCATCCGTATCAACAAGATGTTGTCGTGCGCTGGTGCCGATCGTCTTCAGACCGGTATGCGTGGTGCCTTCGGTAAGCCCCAGGGTACCGTTGCCCGTGTGAACATCGGCCAGATCATCCTGTCCGTCCGCACCCGTGACTCCAACCGTGCCGCCGCTATCGAGCTCTCCGCCGTTCCATGTACAAGTTCCCTGGTCGCCAAAAGATCGTCGTCTCCAAGAACTGGGGTTTCACCCCCGTCCGTCGCGAGGAGTACGTCAAGCTCCGCAACGAGGGCAAGCTCAAGCAGGACGGTGCCTACGTTCAGTTCCTCCGTGGCCACGGTCTCGTTGAGAACAACATGAAGCGCTTCCCCGACGCCTACGAGTCCCAGGCTTAAATGGAATGAGCTTTAGCGTTAGGACCCATAAAAAGACATGAATTTTTATTATATTCCTCCGGTTACCAATACATGTTCTGTTATTTTGTGATGTCATTTTAAGTGTCCTCACGCACGGCGGAGTTGATTTTAATCATGGATTCCTCGGGCTTCTTCCTCTGCGTACTCGGTTGTTATACTTAGTAGATTCTGGATCCAGTCATCTGACTGGCCATCGTAATGTGCATCTCTCGTATTGGCTATATCTCCACCAAGCTCAGAGCCCTACCAGAGCACCCCAATACTATAGACGACACCAGGCCATGATTCTAGACCCAAGCAATCATAGCCAATTTCTAGATGTGACATCATAAGACCAAGTCAGCCGAACAAATCTCCCAGATCTTCCAACTGGCATGGATATCGGTCTAACCCAGAAAAAAAAGAAAAGAAAAAAAAGAGACTTCTAAATACTCAATAAACATGTATGAAAGGTTTTCGCTAGATATATATTTACGGATACTTACACATATATATGTGCATGCAATAGATGCGTGTACCAAGGTTGCCAAACTATATATTCATCCGAGAGGCACTCCATGATATATTATTTTTCAATGAACTCATGTAATTGTATCGAGAGAATATGGGGTTTATTGGAAGTATTCTGAGTATTTTCTTGAAGGAAGAATGGGACAGTTTGGATGCGATATGGTATGATTGATATGTATTGAGAGAGAATATAGACAGTCACCGTTCGATGTATATATAACCCCAGACCGAGCCGCCCCTTTACGTACTGTACACCGTTGACATGCACCTGTTCCGGTTGAAATATATGTCTAAGCCTTTGCCGCGCCTCGTGATATGTAAAATGCATAGAAGACCACACCGATGCATTACCGCGGATGATATGTGAGATGATTTAGAGCAGTATATGTATATGGAAAGGAAAAAGAGAACAACACCGAAGAAAACAGAACACCGAAAAGAGACAGACAGCCAAGCCCAGAAAGAGAAGTATAGCTATCATTCATCATGACAACGCCCCGAGAAACTCCTGGTCTGAAGATGACGCAGCCTGATTAAGTTAAACATTGATGGCCAGCATGCAATATAGATGAGTTGAATTGGAGAAGTTTCTTAAGATTGTCACGAGCCGTAGATTGTAGATACGCCCGGGCTGGATAGCGGATGATTAGACATCACCCCAAGACCCAACACCACCGACGGGGGCAATAGCACTTCCACTGTCTACACTGCCGCCGATGTCCCAATAGTTCCGGCTGGAACCGGTAAGGGTTCGGCGGCTGGAGATAGCAGACAGCTTCGCACTCTGACCGCAGCTAGAACTGGGACGGCGGAAGTGCTGGCGCAGAAGAGGGGATGATATACCTGCGGGGCCGGGTTGATTGGCGGAGTGCTGGGACTGGCGTCGAACTTGCGCCTGAGAGCGGGAGTGTGCTCGTGCCACCAGCGGGTGGTGCTGGCGGATAATCGCGGCGCGTCGGGACGCATCTTGCGGGGGTCGGCGCGCAGGGGGCTGGTAGGCATCGGCGTTACTGCCTCGTCGACTGAAGCGATTGCGAAGATAGCGGAAGACCATCATCACATCCAGTTCCCGTTCCCAGTACTCTTTCTCCTGCTGGAGGCGCACGGACTCGGGTAATGAATCTGCAGGAGAATCCCGATTCAAGTCATCATCTTCAATGCCCCATTGTGCGGCATGCTCTCGGCCGGTGGGATCCCGAAGCGTAGGAGAGAACTGTGGAGATAACACTGAATCGGCATTACTCGTTGGCACCTGTGAGGCTGTTGGGGCAGCAGATACTGATTGAGCTTGCGCGTCACTCTCTTCTGGTAATGGCCCGAGAGGCATGCCAGCGTATTGGTTGGGGATATCGTCCGACAGGCTGAGATAGGATGTAAAGGCACCCGGGTGTTCACACAGTTGATTAACAAGTATTCCCAATTCATGAGCAATGCGTTGAAGTAGCTTGGTCTGCCAATTGCTGTGATCGTCGGGAACAGAGTCCAGCTCCGAGTTAAGAGTTTCGTTCATACGAAGGGCATCATCTGTCCCAGCAGATGCACCTCTCTCATTCTCCGATAGGGAATCCCCGAAAAGGGCAAATAACAAAGAGTCGTCGATTCCAATGAGATCCCGGATGACTTTTCGGGTGATCTTCCGCCATAAAGGCTCGTTTGCGTCCCCTTCTGATACTGTCGAGGGGGGTGACGCATCTTCCCTGGACATCTCCAGGGTCCTGTCAATACCTGCCACTCCGGTTTGCGAACCCACGGGATCACCCAGCCTGCTGGCACGGCTATGGCGGCGTTTTCGTGTTTCTCTTTCGATTTCCTGCAATAGCACTCGGCTCTGATCCATCCTCCACTTTTCGATACGTTGCCATCGCTCGCGGTCCATGTCTGGAGCTTCATGGTCTTCTACTGAGTCCAACTGACGTTGGACATTCGAGAACCGCCGGGATCCTAGCGTGGGCCGCCGATGAGGATTATACTGCTCGTGCTGCCACAACTGGTCTTGCACCGGTTGGGCAGAAGCCTCGAAACTGCCTAGTCCATCGTGAGCTGGGAGGACAGCTGGTGTCCCTTGGTCCCATTTTGCGGAAGGGTCTTCGTTCAATGAAGGTGCCCGAAAGGCATGCAGGCCGTCGTCCAGACTGTCTAACTCTGTGCCGTCCTCATCTAAGGACTCTTCGAGGGGCTCGTCAGCATCATCATTGTCCGGTCCCCAGGCTGACCGTGTCGGGGTACCAAACGAGCCAAAATCGCTCAGGCGGGATGGCGCAACGGTTCTTGGGGTGCGTTCTGTGGAGGTCGTGTGCGTGCGGGCGTCGGCTGATGGTTGAGAGGGAGAGAAGAGCACCCACTCGGTGGATTCATTATCGGGGAGCTGAGACAGTCTGGGAGGGGCCTCAAGGGTGGGAGGCTGAGGGGGTTGCGAAGTTGAGTAGGAATGTTGACGGCGGGGAGCTTGTGGTGGTAGCCGTAAGGCCATCGTTGATCGGAGATGGTTGGAGGGGGCGAGATAAGAGGGGGTTTTATCGATCGCGGTGGATCTGTTCCCCGCGATGTATGCTGTTTCTCAAAAACGTACGGAGGAGCGTAGCAATATACAAAAGGGGGAGGTGAAAGGCGAAAAAGATGTATGCGTGAGATCAGTCTTAAAATAAATGATAAGAAAAAGTAAAAAAAATTGGACAGATAACAAGGACGGATCCAGGAGCCCCTTGGTGAGTGGATTGGCTCAAGATGCGGTGATCCGACGCGACCCAACCAGGCGGCTGGTGGCTGAGGGTCTGAATGTACTGTGTAGATTAAAGTCCGGAAAAGAAATGACAAAGACCAGAAATGAAGAAACAATCAGACACCGTCTTTGTTTTCCCCTTCACTCAGTGCATCCAACGGAGGGAATGAGAGAGAGGGTGAACAATAACCCCCAAGGTGGTCAACAAACGAGACGCAGCGGAAGAAAAAGATGATGATGCAAGAAAACGGCAAGTCATCAGACGAGACGAGACCGGAGGATGGGCGCAAGTGGGTTTCGGGGGTCCACTTGGAACAGGCAAAAGTTCCATATACTTTGGTGGTGCATGGAAGTGGCTCCCAGTCCCAAGTATCGAGTACGTACTTGATGAGTTTATATTCCCAATGGAACAAAGTACATGAAATCATATACTTTGGACTAAGTCGTTAGTCGTTCCGTATGATACTGGGGTCATCTGACCGCCAAATGGTGTCACTGCAGGAATTCCCACCACTGGACGATGGTCAATACCGACTCGTCCCGTACTGTATGCGTTCCCGTATTGATGGATCGGGTGATCGACCATCTGCTAATTTATCGCTGATGAGATAAGGATGATGCTTTTATAATTGCCAAACGTGCAATGTGTCTGGATTGCGAACGCACTCTACCCGGCTTTACTTACTCTGATTCTTGAATTGCAAGAAGTCCTTTTGGCCTGCTTTTACCCCTTTTTGAGTTTGAATTATCTATCATGACTTGATTTGTCGTCCTCCATAACAGACCTGCACCGTACAAGTCCCACCGAACGCCAGATGATATGATCGACCCTCAGCGGGCTGATCGTAGTGACATGTCATCCTCACAGCAATGGTCTGCATCGCCCAATTTGAGGCGGACAACTGTCAGGGGTGGTACCTCCGTACCTCCAGTGGGACCTCTGTACTTTCCATGGATCAGATGCAATGCGACGAGATTAGACTCGCTAGTTCCATACGACTCGTCCATCCATCATTAGATAGTCGATTGATCTTCTCTTTCCGCTTTAGTGCTTACCCCTCGCCGCTTTTGGATGCCTGACCTGAATGTGCGAACACACGGAGTAATTACATTTTTGGATGCACAATATCCACCGCAAGAGATTTTCTGCTACAGTCCGATAATTCCTTGCTGATTATATTCTTGCCAGCTGTATCGCATAAGATAAGAGTGCCATCCTCTCCTTTACAGCAACAGCATGTTGCAAAAGTAGGGCTCGCCAAGCAATGTTGATATAATTTGAGCCAAACTCCACAATCATACTATTTCGACCACAGTCACCTTCTGTAAGTGGAAAGTACTGCTGTCGGAAGGGATTTGTGACTCATGTATGGAGCGGATTCGGTCCAAAATGGATCTACAGCTTTTGGCGCCAATTATGTAAATATGCCAGGAATATCACACTAGCGATCTGGGTATGGGCTCTATCAGAAAAAGCACTAGGCTGTAATGGCATGGGGATAATAAGGACAGTACCATCATTCTATGGTTGGATCCTTTGGCTCATCTTCTGGTTTCACACTGGTTCCTACACTACTCTAGAACTTGAATTTGGCCGACTGTGCAGAGGCTTTCTTTACCTTCCCGGTTCTTTCATTCCGAGTTTCTGGTGTGGATCCGCATGGTGCGGAAATTGGAAGAGGGGAAGGATATAACTTCATGGCAGAGGTCATTCCGAAGTAAAGTGCATGGTCGAAAGTCAAGCAACCAGTTTGGAAATGGATCATTTAAGCGGACAATCTGTGTGGTGTATACTGTTCATTGGGTATAAATTCTACACCGGTAAACTGCCGAGTGGGCTGAACTGTACAAAGGCCCCCATAGTAAAGAGAAAAAAGAACGTGAAAATGAGGTCTACTGCCCAGCAAGCGCCTCTCCAACCCAGTCCATCTGCACTGCACTCACCCCTCGGGCGTAACTCCGATTCGTGAAGACGTACTCGTTGTACATAATAGCCTCGACTTTCTTGCCAAACAACACACTAGACGGGTGAATCGCCACGGTTTGATTCCCGACAACGGTCCGATAGCTGCCGTCCGGCACCAGACGGGCGGTATTGGTAGCAAAACCCCGTAGGAAACTTTGCAGTATGTGAATGGGCGATGGTTCTCGGGTGATAGAATTAGTCGAGGGACCCCGATTATCATTCGGAGAAAGAAGCTTAGCTTGACGGCATTGAGTAGTAAGCTGCTTACGGACATCCTATAGATAACTTGGTTAATCGAATGTGTGTTTCAGTTGAGTAAACGGAGTCTTACCATTACGGCTTGCATCGCCCGATGCGAGACCATATGTCTCTCAGCCCACGCCTTACGATCGGTGTTCTCGGCGGCGTAGGATTGCACGGTGGCGAGCATGGTAAGATGATCGCCTTCTCTCCGATACAGATCCCGCCGCGCTTTCTCCGCCTCCTCTTTCTTTTCCTCCGATGTCGTGTTTAAGAAGATGGTCTCCACACTGAGGCACGAGATGATGTCGATCACATCGGACAGACAGTCTTCCCCATACTCCGATGCCGCAAGTAAGACCCGACCGAGAGTCGGAGTGAGAGGAAGCTTGGCAATATGCAGGCCGATCGGACTAACTTTGCCAGATTCTTCGAGCGCATCAATGCTCAGCAGCTGGAGAAGCGCCTTCTCCAAGGACTCCCGCGGGGGACGTGTCAGGAAGGGGAAGCCCATGACATCGTCGACACCACGCGCCTTCATGTTGAGCAAAGCTTGACTCAGATCGCATCGTAGGATCTCTGGGGTGTTAACTTCATCCAACTCTAGGTAGTCTTTTTCAGTAAACAGGCGATAACACTGGCCGGGTGCCTCTCGTCCTGCACGACCTTTACGTTGGATAGCAGCGGATTTAGAGATAGGCTTGACCAGAAGAGAATCCAATCCCAGACGTGAGCGGAATTGCTTCACTTTGGCTTTTCCACAATCGACCACATACCGTACTCCAGAGACAGTCACCGAGGTTTCAGCAATGTTCGTAGCTAGAATGATTTTGCGAGTCCGAGGCGGTGCAGGGGCAAACACGCGCTGTTGCGCTGCCTGCGGAAGGGCAGCAAACAGTGGTAGAACTTGGATCTTCGGCAACGCAGGGTCCATTCCAACGGCATACTCGTTCACCAACTTCTCCAAGTTTTCCACAGTCTCCTGTCCAGTCAAGAAAACTAGAATGTCTCCAGGCAATGGCTCCTTGTAATGGATATTGAAGATAACTTTGAGGGCTGCATCAACAAAATCGTGTACTGGTTCAGGCGAGTAAATAGTTTTGACTGGAAACTGCCGACCCTTGATATGGCAGACAGAAATTTCATCATCTTTCTTGCCAGAGCCGTTCGTGATAGCCTTGGTGCTGTTCTGTGCTTCCTTCTCCGATCGTGAGCTCTGATATCCTTCCTGGAAGAAGCCGAGTAGACTCTCCATATCTGCCGTGGCACTCATCACCACAACTTTCAACGGCACTCCGCCACGCCCTTCTCTCTTCCCCGACACTAGATTCCTGAGGAATCCTAGCAGCAGATCAACATTGACACCGCGCTCGTGCACTTCATCAACGACAATCGCGCTGTATTTGGTCAACGAGGGGTCGCGCAGCATCTCCTGTAGCAGCATTCCCTCCGTCAGGAATTTGACCCGCGTGCTAGGAGATGTAGACGTATCAAAACGAACGGAGTAGCCGACTTTACTCGCAGGAGACGACGACCCAAGTGGTGTGCCCATTTCCTCCGCAACACGCCTAGCCAGCGAGATCGCAGCAACTCGCCGGGGTTGAGTAATAGCGATACAGCCGCCAACCTCTATCTCCTTCTGTGAATCATCCTCCTGGGCCACCTTTGTCTTTGTTGGCCGACACCATTGCTCATTGAACAGAAACTGGGGAATCTGCGTACTCTTTCCGCTACCCGTCTCACCAATAAGGAGCATCACATCGTTCTTGCGCAGGTCTTGTCGGATCTCGTCGGCATGGGGGAAGATAGGAAGGTTCTTGCGAATTTCATACAACGTTTTCGCCTTTTCCTTCAATGAGTTGAAATTGGTCTTTGTATCCCTCAGCGGCTTCTGTTTCTGATCTTTCTTCTTGTGTCTCGGCCTGTCGGATGCGACGCTCACGTTGTTCTTGCTCGTGGGCATATCTTTTTCGGAGTTCTGCGCAGGTGGCTCGGGTTTGTTTTCTGCGGCTGCCGGTGTGGGTTGTTGCGAACTATCGGTCGACTCGCCATGTTTCCGTTTTTTCTTCTTTTTCTTATCTTCTTCTTTGCTGGGATGTTTCCTTTTGATGGATCCTGTTTCAAGGTTTTCTTTCGCTATTGTGGCCTTGTCTTTTCCACTGGCGGGTGTCTCGTCCGGGTCTTCGAAGAAGACCGTTTTCACGCGTTCGGGCATCGCGAGTAGTCCTGTAGTCCCGAGAAAGACAGTCTAAGTGAGAAAATGATAATATCAAGGCTAAAAGACTCAAGAGACGGTATATATTAGTCTAATTAGGTACTCTTCATGTCGTCGTATCGTGTTGTTAAAGTGCTTTTGTCGGAGTTCCAAATCCCCGAAATTTTTTAAGTGAAGCTTATCGATAAGAACGCTTGGCGCGGAGCCATTTAACTAGTTAACACTTCATCTTTGTACTCCTACAGTCGCAAATATACTAGCAAAGGAAGCTAAATGTCATGCTCATATTCGGTCGTTCATTCATATTGATTTTTGTGTTTCCTTGTATATATTATAACTCAGTCTATCAATTCACAGACTTCGTTTTCCCATGTCATAATTTGTGTACCCAAGAATTTGCTCGATGTTTTCCCGTTGTCTATACATTTCCATCTATGTATAAAGCGCCAGAGTAAAATTCCATGATTCGTTAATTCATACCCCATCCACGAACACGTCGAAAGACGAAGACGCGGTCATTGCGAAGACCGTATTCAGACCAATCATCATTGAGTTTGTTGTAGCTCCAATAGCCCTTCCATATCAATTTCGTGTTTTTGGGCGCATTGGTGGACTTATGCGCCGCAGATGACCGCAGTGACATGTGGAGAACATTGATGCTCGACCGGCTAACACTTTCTGTCTCGATAATGACGTCTCTGGGATCGAAGGCATCGGCCGACAGGTCTTTGCCGCCATGAACCGAAGGAAGGCCCGTCTCTACCTGCGCGCCCGTCTCGGAGGCTGGGAAAGGATCGGCCAAGCGCCAACGACCCCGGCGAGCGTCTTTTAAGGCTCCCATTGCGATCGCAGGTGTTGGTTCCGCGCCTCCCGCCACAGTCTTACCTGCGTCCAAAGGCGGACGTCGGTGGTGCTTGTGAGATGCCTGGGCTTCTATAACGTTTTCAATGCTAATATGTGGGACCAGGTCCAGAGGTTCCACGGTACTGAGTAGGGCGATGACTGTGCCATCCGGGTAAAATCGTAGATATCGATAGTATGTGACTATGTGGATCGGAGAGTTCCACGATATATTTTGATAAAATGAGGCAGCACCGGCGCGAGTATAGTTGACTGTGCTAATGTAGATTCCTGTAAATCGAATACGAGGGAACATTTGAAATACGTCACTCCATGAGGAGAGCGGCTTGGGAACCTGCACAGCAGTGCCAACAGGAAACGGAGTGTAGCGAGAACGAGGGCTTAGTGTGTTCTCTGGGTTACCGTGAAGGTCGCAATCGAAAGCATAATGCATAGACTTGAAGCCAAATTCAGGGCCCTGGCAAAGTCGTTTCCATATGTGCTGTTCGTGAGCAAAATGCCATGCAAATCGTTTGCAGACCAGTGACATCCGAGAGAATGCCGCTGGGTCCATTAATGCCACATGCCTCAAAATCTCGACTATCACCTCCGAAGGAACGTGAGCGATGGGACATGGGGGTGCGGGGTCGCCCTCGAAGAGAGGCTTTGGTTGAGCAATGGGCAGGTGGGCAAAAGATGCAATAAGCTCGGGCGTTGTTAAAGTCTCTGATTCATCTTGAGTTGGTTGATCTTTCGAAGTTATGTGCGCGGCAGGAGCTGGGGCTTTGGCTGGCTTTTTCCACGCCCAGGCAAAGTGCTTGTCACGGTAAGTCTTGTCGACAGCCGAGTCCAACTATAAGACGGGAATAACATAGCGGTTAGCCAAAATCGACATAAATTGGAGGAAATAGTAATGATTACCTTGTATGCTTTGCGGTAATGTTGTAGACTATCCCCCAACTTCCCCTCGGCCTCCCTCTCCACCGCTCGTTCAAAGTGCTCTAGAGCTGATTTAGGCTCCTTTCGTGTTTCTTGTGAATGAAAAACATCCTCATCATTGGTAATGTTTAGATTGCTAACACCTTGGACGATTTCAGCGCTACCAAATGATGTTGCCCTTTCCTCGTCTTCTTTGCGTAGCCATGCCTCGTGGCGAGTTGGCGGGAATTGACTCGGTCGTGCCCTAGAAGAGGGGCTTGTGACGCGTTTTGGCCGTGGCGTGGTAGGTTTGGTATGCTTCGTCCGACGGGCGACTTCCTCCCGCCACTGCCGTCGAAACGACTCTAGTTCAGCGTTGTCTTCCATTATCACGACGGCAGGGCACGGTACAATGGCGGACTGAGGCGGGTTCCTGATTGATAAGCACGGCAGTGTCCGACGAGCACCGACACTCGATCACACTTGCGGGAGACGGAGAGTAATATGTACCGCAATGATCGGAAACTTGCAGGTATTCACAGAGCTATTTCCCGAACAGCAACCGAACAGCGATCGTGGGAAATGCCTGGTTGATAGTACTATGTTATCGATAAATTGGAGAAAGTTCAGGTCAAGCGGCAGTTCGGCGCTATCTTATCGCCGATCCAATCTTGCTCTGGCCCGAGCGCCACCGCTAACAACCGAGCCGGACCGTTCTTTTTCTTTGACTGACGCATTGCTCCCGTCGTTATTGCTCCCCACCATACTGTCTAACGAAAGACCATTCTGCCAATACCTCTTATCAGAAAGGACGCGGAAAAGCGGCTATAGGATACTCCTTGCTCTATCTTCCTAGCCGGATGAATGTCTGACTATAGGTCTGACATCAGTCGCGGGGACCGATATCGCTCTGACCTCTTGACCACCGCTGGATTGGAGGGGAACACGGCAGAGTCATGGCCTTGGATTGAAGACAAGGCAATGGCGGTTACATCTGGAACAGGAAACACTCCTGCTCCGGACGCCAGTGGGAACAATGAACATGTCTCGATCATCCAGAAGATGGTTTCCGCCACCTGTGGCAGCGTTTTGACAAATCTACTAGGTATGTCAGTTACTGAATTTGAGCCCGATCTCGCTCCCAAATACGATGGGAGATGAATGCCATATATACTTACAGTATTGTATAGTGACCCCTCTTGACGTCGTTCGAGTCCGCCTACAGTCTCAATCTGCAATTAAGAATACGTCCCCTTTTCACCACCACACGGCGCAAACGTTGAAGAATATACCCCCGAATCTAGGCGTGACTGCCTGTTGTCGTGAAGTCTTTTGGATCGGTCAGAATACTCAAGTGTGTATGGTTGGGCCCGGCGCAGGAGCTATTGGAGCCCCTTCGCCTGCTATCGCGGATTGTGCCGTGGAGGAAGTTCAGCGGAAAACGTTTACATCCACACTTGATGGCCTTCGGAAGATTGCTCGAAATGAAGGCGTATGGACTCTTTGGCGTGGGCTTAGTCCGACCATGATGATGAGTATACCGGCAAACATCATCTACTTTGCGGGATACGATTGGTTGCGAAGCGATGAGAGAAGCCCAATAAAGAAATTCTTGCCAGACGCCTATGTTGCATTTATATCAGGTTCTGTTGCAAGGGTTGCTGCGGCATCGGCCATTAGCCCGATCGAGATGTTCCGAACGCGCCTACAGGCTACCCCGGGCACCGGTGCAGGACATTTTAAGGCCACTTTCGAAGGATTACACCATATGACCAAAACTCAGGGCTATAGTTCGCTCTGGCGAGGGTTAACGCTCACTATGTGGCGTGATGTGCCCTTTTCAGGTCTGTATTGGTGGGGATATGAGGAAGTAAAAAAGCACCTCATTGAGGCACGGCATAAATCCCATGACAGCCTGTTGCCGACTGGGCTATCCCCTGTGGGACACCAACATGAGGACGACATGCATACGCCAACGTTTTTTGAAAGCTTCATCGCGGGTGCTGCGTCAGGCTCAGTAGCAGCGTTTGTCACAACTCCTTTTGATGTAGGGAAAACACGCCAGCAAGTTTTTCGACACCTGGGGGATGAGAAGAGTAGCGTACCGCGGGGGTCTCTTCATCCAGAACAGCTTTCCTTGCCTAGGTTCCTCATGCATATCTTCCATGAGGAGGGTACGGCCGGGCTCTTTCGAGGCTGGGTAGCAAGGTGCTTGAAAGTAGCACCTGCTTGCGCCATCATGATTTCCACATATGAAGTTGGAAAGAAGATGGCAAAGGGCGTCAATGAGAGACGTCACCCGGAGGAACATTCGGACTCTGTATGAGCAATTACTCAGCCAGCCTGACTTGCTGCTGGGATCGAAGCACGCCGCAACCGTGCCCAACACTTTGCGTTTCTATTCGAACTCTTCAGCATGCCCTACATGTGTACGTGTAGGGCCTTGAATACCCTCGGCAATATTCATTATTGTTTAATTCTGTAGCAGAAATTCTGCTCTTTGTTATTGTTTTTCTTCTGACGATACCGCATGAGTTAAGTTATAGAGCATTTATTTGTACTTTATTGGGGTCGGAAATGGTGGTCCTGGTCACTACACTCCAAAAGCGTTGCATTCTGGTTATCGTGTACATACTTACATCTCGCAATAGAGCTAACAAACCCCCCTCTTTAGTGTATTATAGTGATTAAACGATCGTCAACATCTCCGTTATGAATAAGGTCTTTTCGGTTCCATGATACTCAGGGGTCATTTTAGGATGAAACTAACCTAACCATTGTTGTAAGGAGACGAACTTTTAATATACAGTCAAAGTCTTACTAGGACGTGTTTTTAGTTGATATGAGGGTTGTAGACTGTCATGTGCAGGGTAAGTCACGAGGTGGCATTGACCCCCCGTGGATCCGAACAATCGTTCTTTCCAACACTTCGGCCTCATGATTGGCGTCTCGATTGCTCTAGTCACCTTTAGTACGCTTTCTGATGAGGCTGAACTGCCAAGGCTTCTGCAGGGCCCAGGAAGCATCAGCTGCCATGGATTTAAATCGAGAAACAGAGGCGGGATCAGATGATGGCTGTCATCTACCCATAATCATATCTTCTCCACCTCTGAAAGTTGAAAGTATGATTCAGTATATTCCCTCTCGAGGAAAACAACAACCATGGCGACCAACAGTGATACGAACAGTGAGCGGTCTATTCAACTCGAGACTGAGGTAGAGTAAGTATCGTGGCTATAACTATCCACCCTATTTGGTATTTTTGTCTGAACTATTATAGTGTTGTGGCAGTTCCTGCGATTGGAGCAGATCCGCAGAGAGCGTGGGTCGGTGATGATTTTCAGAAGCCATGGCTCATTTCAGAACTGACACGATATGTCCCCAATGCGCGGGTGTTACTGTTCGACCATGGGCCGCTTGACCGTCAAGATGATCTGGACTCTTTGGCCCATCATCTCTTGAAGCAGATACACTCAGAAAGACAACACACTGTATGCAGCGCTTCTCTATTACTGCACAAATGAATGAGATTAGTAACAATCTACAGACCGGAAGGAGGCCCATATTTTTCATCTGCCATGGAACAGGCGGTCTTGTCGCCAAAGCAGCGCTTGCCATTGCCGCACATTCAACGTCGAACCTCGCGTCGATACTGACAAGCTGCTATGGGATTGCTTTCATGGCAACCCCCCACCAAGGCTCGAGCTATCTTTCAGCTCCTGAATATGCTAAGAGTATCCGCCGCCTAATGCAACTCAAGCATCATGTTCCCCACTGCATACGAGAGGTGCTGAAACCCAGACATCCACGGCTGTTGCAACTATCCAACCAATTCAGGTCCATATCTGCAGATATCAAGATATGGACATTCTTAGAGACAGTTGACTCTACACTTACCGTCGCGGATTCGGGTACTATAAGTTGTGTGGAGATGCATGTCCCAATTACTTCTATTCGGTCGGGGGTACTAGATCTGGAGCACGAAAAGGTGATCCCGTTAGCTACGGATCACGTTGGTGTAGCATCCTTCAAAGGACAAGAATTCACAACCAGAAAAAGCTTTATTAAAGAGCTTCAGCCGATCATCACCATGGCTGCGCAGCTTTCTAAGTTACCAGATGCTCCGTTGCGCGTTAGTCGAGAGGTTATGGTGCAAGTTAATGGCTTCTTCGAAGACACGGCGCGGGGAGTCAGCGATGAAACGCCTCTCAAGCTCTGGTCGACGAAAACATCGCTACGGGAGTATCTAAAAGACGGTCCTGCAATCTGTCTCACGGATCGACTGAAACAAACTGGTAGAGTATCGTCCGGCTCAATCGATGACTCCTCGATAAGTGATTTTGATAGCAGACCATCCTCTGCCGCTATGGCAGACACACCGTTTGCTATACGGGATGGGGTATTGGAGGAGGCTAGCACCATCCAGCCTCAGACAATCCCATCAAGGCCATCAATAAGAAGAAGTCGCAGTTTTGTGGCCCCGGCCTCCCCTAGGATTCACGTCACGGAGGCCGCTGCGGACAGTTATATTGATGTACCACAAGAAGAAGCAACGTCGGACATTCAAAGTGATACTGTTTCCAGTGAAGACCTAGGACATAGAGACAGCGTAACTGATGAAAGGAAAGAGACCACTGCTAGGAGTTCCAGTCCCAGCAACCAGGCACAGCCCAATGTATTGTGAGTATTGCGATAACATGAAAGTTTGAGTACCGAATCGACCGACTAAACCAACAAAGAGCTAGTTTATCATCGAAATACAGAGCTTTCCTTCCGTTACCACCGCCCACAAGGGAGCGGCTCCAGGAAGTTCGAGCAGAGCTGCCTCGGAGAGTTCCCCGATTTGACCGACCAGAGCCAGGTAGCGAGAAGCTCTTATGGATTCATGTCCCATACACTCATACGGGATGGGTGCCTCCAGTTCTGTCTAAAGCTTGCAACGACCAGCAGAGGCCAGAGTTGTACGTCCAGTCCCTTTATATGAGCTACCTCCTCTAGCTAACGTGATACAACCGTCAATACATCAGCTTCAACAAGTTCATCAATGATAAAAACTGGTTCTCGCAAATTATCAGAGCCCGCCACCTAGAGCCTCATGCGCGTTTTGTCCGTCCCACGTGTATTCATTCCAGGCTGGGTGATTCTTTGCCAATAAATTCACCAGAGGAGCCTCGTGATCCTCAGTTAGCCTTATACGTAAGTCCAGTCGATTCAATATTGGCTAGGACAGTGTACTGACGATATAATAGCTTCCTTATGTAAGTCGGTCTACTAGGCGTATGATTTCATTGACTAAGGTATGGTAACACAGCTTCATTGGGACACATATTGGAATCTCCTTCAACGAAGAAAGGTTATCGAAAAGCGGCTACAACAGGGAAGATCCAAGCCAGTCCCTGAGTATATCTCAGAGTCACATATAGAATCGAGATTGATATGGAAGTTCTTGGGTGCCGAGCCCCCTATTCATATACGACGAACATTGGACCAGTATGGGTATCCAAATCTGCGGTCAACGGTAGCACGAGACGACGATCAGATGCTATGGAAGCGGACTAGAAAAGTCGTCGATATTAACGAGATTGGTAGCTCAATCCCTCTGCAAGACAACCCTGACTCTTCCAAGACGTTCATCGACGGAAAGGTTCTCATGGTTGATCAGCTCTGGCTCTGGGTCGTAGATGAGAAAACCGTCGTTACCTTTTTCCCTAAACAGGAGGCAGCAACTGCTGAAGATAAGCTATACGAACAGGCGAATCTGCATAGCAGCATTTACAACGAGTTAAACGGAGACCTAGCAAGACGCTTTGAAACAGCCGGGGATCTCGCTGCATTGATAGTCTTGCATGCAGTCACGATTCTTCTGGACAGGACGCTGGACCATGATCTACAGATACTGCGGATCTTTGAGGAATCCATTAGCATCCTGGTACGCTATTTTCCATCGGCAACTTCAATATGAACGCTAATATTCGTAGACTGAATCAACCACTAAATCATTCAAACGCTTCCGCACCCGAGGATTCATCGCCAGACCAGCCGATTACAACAGGACGCTAGAGGGCAGGACAATGACCGCATCAGAACGTGATGAAAGAGACCGTCGAGTAGCCCATCAAAACCGCGAAGATCTCTCTACACTATTAGAACTAAGAGACATAATAGACGAACTAGGGACCATACTAAAACTACTCGAACAGCAAACCGCCACCATCAAATTAATGGCGCAATACTTCGAAGACAAAGGATATGGAAAAATCTTTATAGAATCTGCTCTTTCCCGACTCGAAGACTACCGCACCCAGGTCACAGACATGCGCGAGAACGCACATCTAGCACAGAAAGCTGTACGATTCCCTACCCTCAACTATCCGGCTTGCCTAACACTAGGTATTCTAGGTCGAAAACCTCCTCGACCTCAAGCAAAAGCAAGCAAACGTTGACGAGTCCCGTATAACACGCTGGCAGGCAGAAGTAGCCCAAAACCAATCGCAGTCCGTAATGGTATTTACGATCTTCACCGTCATGTCAGTCACCACCCTACCCTATACTATCAATCACCACCTACATCCCCGTACTAAAAGAAAACCACAGCTTTCTCCCCCTCTCATTCTTTACCTCCCTATTCGGCGTGAACGTCCGCGAATGGAGCGGTGAAGAAACAAACCCCGACTGGGCGTACATGCTGGCAATATCAGGTGCGTCAACCAGTATAATCCCCTCTCAAGCCCTATCCAGCACCACTAACCAATAACAACCTAAGGCCCAACATCCGCCGCAATAATCCTCATCGCCCTCTCCATGGCCTTCAGTGAGCGTCTGCGCGATAGCGTCGTAAAAGCCCACATAATCGGCGTCGGTATAATCACAGATTTCCTCTTGATCCCCGTCAAAGGCGTATTCAAATTAGGGACCGCGGCGTCCCCGGCAAAGCCGACTCCAGGGCAATCGGAAAGTACCTCGCGTCTTGACAGGTATTTGGGGAATAGACGGTATAACAAAAAGTTTGAGGATGATATTTGGAAACGACATGAGGATCGGGTGATTTCCCCGTTACCGGCGGTTCATGTCTCTGATATGGAGGGGATGATGGGGTTTGATGTTTCTGAGAAGGGGGGTAGATGGCAGCACAGTGTTAATGGGGCGTAGGGATTTTGTTTTGTTTTGTTTTTTTTTTTTTTTTTTTTTGTTTTTATTCTTTCTTTTGTTTTCTAATCTAATTTTTGTTCATGTTGGTTTGTGCATATGTTGCGGGGTGTTGGATACCGCAAAGGTGATGTTACTTCCGATACTCCTGTTTAGACGGACTTTGGGTAGAGATGGGAGAAATGAAGTTGTTGACTGGGAGTATCAAGACATTGAGTTGACCTGGTTCAGGTAGTATCACATAAGGATTCAGCACTGGTTAAAGGGCATATCGCAAATGAGATGGAGGTGATCTACAGTTCTATACGAGTCTGGGTTACGTAAGAAGATTTGTTCATGAACAATTATTGTAAATTGAGAACAGAACCACAACTACAAAAGCAGTGGTGTACGTAAAGTACATGATATGATACACAGGACTCCCTGAGGCTTTTATCCCGACATAGTGGAGTGGAGATGATATATAGGGTAATGCGATAGAGAGGTATGAGGATAAGGATAATCGGAAGGAATTGGGTAGTGAGGACGTGCAACACATTAGGACAAAGGAGATATTAAAAACACAGAGATATCAGAATATGCAACAGTATGTAAAGACACGCTGGAAGAGGAAAGGTTAGAAACAAGGCGAGTTTAGGCTATAGCAGGCGCGGCGCAGTTAGAACATGCCACCGCCCATGCCGCCCATACCACCCATGCCACCCATGCCACCACCAGGAGCGGCAGGGGCCTTCTCCTCAGGGGCCTCAACAATAGCGACCTCAGTGGTACCAAGGAGAGATGCGACACCGCTAGCATCAACCAGGGCAGTACGGACGACCTTAAGGGGGTCGACGATACCCTTGGAGATCATGTCAACGTACTCGCCCTTGGAGCTGTCAAAACCACGGTTGAAGTCCTTGGCGTGCTCCTCAGTAAGCTTGCCAACAATGACGCTGCCCTCAAGACCAGCGTTCTCAACGATGGTGCGGGCAGGGCGGGTGATAGCATTCTTGATGATGCTGACACCGAGCTGCTGATCGAAGTTGGCAGGCTTAACGTTGTCAAGGCCGTTGGCAGCGGCCTTGAGGAGAGCGGTACCACCACCAGGGAGGATACCCTCCTCAACAGCAGCACGAGTGGCGTTAAGGGCGTCAACGACACGGTCCTTCTTCTCACCGACCTCGACCTCAGAGGAACCACCGACCTTGATGACAGCAACACCACCGGAGAGCTTGGCCAGACGCTCCTGGAGCTTCTCCTTCTCATACTCAGAAGTAGTGGGGTCGGCCATGACACCGCGGATCTGTTCGCAGCGCTGAGCAATGGAGTCCTTGGTACCCTCACCGTTCAGGATGATGGTGTCCTCCTTGGTGATGGTGATGGAGCCAGTGGAACCGAGCATGTCAGGGGTAAGCTTCTCGAGCTTGATGTCGAGCTCATCAGTGAAGACAGTACCGTTGGTAAGGACACCAAGGTCACCAAGGATGCTCTTGCGGTTGTCACCGAAGCCAGGAGCCTTGACGGCAGCAACCTGGAGCTGACCACGGAGCTTGTTAAGGATGCAGACGGCGAGAGCCTCACCCTCAATGTCCTCAGCAATGATGACGAGAGGACGGCGGAGGGTAGTGGAGGCCTCAAGGGCGGGGATGATATCCTGAACAGCGGAGATCTTCTTCTCGGAAAGGAGAATCAAAGGCTTCTCAAACTCGACCTTCTGGGACTTGGCATCGGTGATGAAGTAGGGGGAGGTGTAACCACGGTCGAAACGCATACCCTCAGTGACCTCAAGCTCATCCTCAAGGGTCTTACCCTCCTTAACGGTGATAACACCCTCCTTGCCGACTCTCTCCATAGCGGTAGAGATGAGCTTACCAACGTGGGTGTCGCCGTTAGCGGAGATGGTAGCGACCTGGGCAATCTCCTCGCCAGTGGTGATGTCACGCTTGTTCTGCTGCAGGTAGTCGACAGCAGCCTCGACGGCGGCCTGGATACCACGGCGAAGATCCATGGGGTTGCAGCCAGCGGCAACGTTCTTGACGGTTTCGGAGAAGATAGCACGGGCAAGGCAGGTAGCGGTGGTGGTACCGTCACCGGCGAGTTCGTTGGTCTTGGAGGCAACATCCTGAAGGAGACGAGCACCAAGGTTCTCGAACTTGTCCTGGAGCTGAACGGCCTTGGCAACGGTCACACCGTCTGCATGCAGTCAGTATTTTGCTTCGGTCTGGTGTGGAGGAATCGGTCGGGATGTAGCGACATACCCTTGGTGATCTTGGGAGAGCCGTAAGGAGTGTCAATCAAGACATTACGACCCTTGGGACCAAGAGTGGAAGTGACAGCCTTGGCAAGAGTGTCGACACCCTTAAGGAGCTGGGCACGGGCTTCGACGCCGAATTTGAGCTCCTACACCGCATTAGCAACCTGGGAACTCAAAGAGGAGAACAGTCCCGGCGCGGTCGGGAGGCGTGAAAAGATTCAGCCTTAGATAGTACGCACCTTGTGGGCAAACCGTTGCTGCTGGAGGTTGAAGCCAGAGGATCTGTTGAAGGGAGCGCGCTTAGAAGCGGCGGAGAGGACAGATGTCCTGGAGGAAAGAGCTCTTTGCATCTTGAAGGGAGGTAAATAAGAAATTACAGAAACAGAGAGTCAATTGATGAGTGAAGCAAGTCTGCCCGAACAGAACTCCCAGAGCAAGGACGGGTGCAGAGGAAGAAAGAAGGGAAGAAGGAGATGGAGATGGAGAGATGAGAGAAAAAGAGATGGAGAAGGAGGATGGAGATGAAGCCAAAGTCTCGAAAATTTTCCAGGCGATTCTCGATCCCCGGATGTCTTGGCAAAAGAAGCTCCTAGAAAGGGTCACGTGGCCCGTTCCCGAGGGAATGTCTTCGGCTCGTCGGAAGCGGAAATTCGTATACATTACTAATTGCCGTTTATCGGCATTGATATTGCTCACTACTCATAGAAAGACAACCATTCCGAGAAAAAACGAAGCGCATGCAAAAAATACCATAGAATAAAACGCAAAATCAGCGTGCACAAAAGAATAGCAAACGATAGTTACTGATCGAGGCCGATGAATGTAAACCAAAACGCCGGCTTGGAAAGTGAAAGATTCCCATATCCCAGTGGATAGCTCGGACTGGCCAAAGCAGAGCCTTCAGTCTCGCTAATACTAGATGAAGCAAAACCAAAACCAACCTCTCAATCCAAGAAGACTTCATATTGAACCCAAGTCAATGTGCTGCACTAAAGTCGAACCCAACCGGAGGGAAACGACAACCAGTTGGTGTAGTCATGTTTGAGGCTTATTCAATCTTCATCACCAGATTACCCTGAGTCTCCATGGCCACATCCTCATTTGATTCAACATAGTTGCCATGAAGGTACTGGTAGTTCTCACTATAAAGGGCACCACCAATCGAGTCATCAGTGGAGTGGTAATAAGCTGGATGGTGGTAGCCAGCGTATGTTGCATTGTGGAAGTCTTGATGTTCCCCAAGTGAGGTCAGGTTAGTGACAGCGTCTTCAGGAACACCTACAGACATGCCCATTATGTGATTATATCCAAGCATGTAATAGTTCTCCATGTCGAGACTAGGTTCTAGTAGCTGTTGATACTGAGCTTGGTAAGGCGTATTGCCATATGTGTTGACAGTTGTGGATACTGGATGCGCATAGGCCGTAGGAAAGCCATTAGACGCATTGCTAACTGGCTGTCTGTACCTCAGAGTGACCAATTTGCTTCTAGTATTCTCTGACGCACCTGGGGAGCTTGTCTCTGACGGTGATTCTTGCTCGTTTGGATATTGGAGAAAATCAGCCCCAGGGACCAACAGCTCTCCAAGCCCATCATTATTACCGTCTATCTCATCGTCACTCTTGATCGGAATGGCTTCATGTAGCTGAGGTCTATGTGATTGCTTCTTGGGTCGACTCCTGCGGCGACTTTTGTCGATATAGTCTTCATCGGATGAAGTATCGTCCTGGAAATTCATCTCTTGACCTTCATCTTCGCTTCCTGAACTATGAGGAGCACTGAGACAGCGTTTGACTCCAGACGCAGCTCTGGCAGGCGCATTATCAGAAGGCTTGCTCGATGACCCCACACCACCGCGCCGTAGGGGAGGAGGGACTTCTTTGCCAGCATCGACACGACGGGACCGGAGCTTTGCTAGATGCTGGACGATAGCCCCTTCAGTGACATTGTTCTTCATTGTACTGGCAACCTCGGACCAAGGAATCCTGATAGACTGGTTATTGCAGACTGACTGCACGGTCAGTAGAAGAAGCTCGTTTAAGTTATCTAACAAATTGGTGTCAACTCAATCAACAAATAGAATCAGTGTCTCCCAGCCAAGGAGATACGTACCGTCCCAACGGACTAAGGTGCGCTTCTTCGGTCTGTTCAAGGCTCTCTTGGAAGGACTCATAGTGCCCTGATAGCATGGGAGACTGCAAATTACATCAAAAAGTGAATAGCTAGCACCTGTGAATACCCTTGTCGGAATTCTTCTTCACATACAGTCACTGGAAAGGGTGATGTGTAGAGTCGGAGTGCACGTTTTGCCGAGCTGGTATAGAAAATAACTGAGTGGAACAGGATATGAAAAAGGGTGAAATAAAGTGAGAGACAGTATCTGATAAAAGTATGTTGCTAAATGTCCAGAGATGAACATATCATCTGAGATACATAGATAGTAAGTGAAACTTCCAACCCAGGACAGTATACTGCAAAGGGATATCGTTTGTTTGTATGCCTGTTGACTGGTACTCAGCCGCGCAGCCGCAATCACTATACACTATACCAGAACTAGCAACATTAGATCAATACTAGATAGATGTGTTGTTATCCTCCTAGATGTACAAAGTGGGGATTTCTATATCTGAAAGGTGTTGCATATAGTATAAGTTATTCTACCACTTTTGCATCTAGGACATACTATATATTTATGTACAGAGGACGCCGAAGAAGAAAAGAAACTATACAAAGTCGACATATATAGGAAGTCTAGCAATAGAGTATTGAATATATATCACAGATGCAATATACTCTCAGTTCCAGGGTTCACTGGTCTGCCAATGGGATATATTGTAGGCTATGTCTAGAATTTACTACTAAAGGTAGAAGGTCAGGTGAAATGGGCTTGCTCGATTGGTCATGGGGCCGGGAAGTCACGTGTATCACATGACCCGAGATCCCGATGCTCCGAAACTCGACGCTTTGCAAAGCATCCCATATCGGTTGATTGATTCTCCCACCCCCAATTGAATACCTCATCTTCCACACACCGTCAAGATGGCATACTGGAAAGCCGCTGGTCTGACGTATGCATGATCCCTTATCTTTTCACGTCTTGCCTAGACGCCGAACTAACTGGACGTTCGACTTTTACAGCTACAACCGCTACCTGGCCGTTGCTGCTCGCGCGGTCCGCAGATCCCTCAAGGAGACCCCTCGTCTGGCTGCTGAGCGCCGTGGTCAGATGGACCTGCGTTTTGCTAAGTGGGAGGTTCGTTTTGGTGCCTCCGCTTGCTTTGTTGGAATCAATGGGCTATGAACTTGGGCTAACAAATGTCTTTTTCACCAATATAGAACGGCAAGCAGGGCGAGGTTCGCTCCCTCGGTGAGGCCAACCAGGAGGCCGCCGTTGCCCAGGCCGAGAAATAGACGGTTTCGAAAACACCCGCATGCGATAATATGGGATATTTTCTACGAGAAGGGGGTTACAGTTGATGATGTGTGGTGCAGGAATGATTTGGAGCTCTGTAGCATATTCGTCCGTTGACCTGGTATAAATAGAAAGAAAAGACCATTTCTTTCCTGCAAATGGGGCTGGTTAAAGTAGATCTCGTGCACTGTAATGCCGTTTGTACTCTGAGCGTAGTCACCGTAACCTGCGGTCTTGCAGCTTTACACCGCGGGCAACGCTTCCGCAATTTTGCCCTGCCCGCCCGACTCCCCGCCTCTCTTTCGTCGGTCCTCTTGTTTCTTTCTCCCATCATCCTCCTTTCGAGAGTGCTTTCTGTCCAGGGTTCGAACGGGTAAATCTGACAGCTGGCTGCAGATTATCAATACTTTATATGTTGCCAAGTAACGAGGGACGAACCCCGATGATGCGAGTCATTTCGCAGTCCGTTGTCCCACGAGACATTACGGACGAGTTTACCAAAGCGGCCTCAAGTGAGATCCCTTTACCTTTGTCCAGTTGTTATCTTACCCATGTTATGTGCTACTATGTGACATTGCTTTCTGACAATCTTTCCCTTGGTCTTAGAATTGCAGACTGGGCAACTGGTGAAAGATGAGTACTTTACGTTGTTCGAGGCAGTGGGCGCACTGGAGGTGAGCTCATGCTATTTACTCCTCGTAGCAAGGGCTATTTAACTTTGCGTGACCTGAAGCTTATACAAGTTGTTATCGCAGATTATGGACTCGAAAATGGACAGTGGCTATCTTGGACCGGGGCAAACCGACGTGCAAGCGTTAGAGGACGACTACGATACCACGCGGGAGCTGGCTCCGGAGCAGGTGATAGGGATAATGGATGAACTATTATGTCATGAGGTAGGTGGTTGCCTTCCCAGAGGGCGACGAATATCCGCTTAGGTGAAGAAATACTGAGACAAACCGCGCGATGGTAGATGGCATGGCATATGGGACATCCACTCTCGCAAACACTTTTTACCTCTCTATACCTTGATAAACTCCTTTGGCCCATACCGAAAACGCTTGAAGAAGCCCACTTTTGTCGTCCGGGATCCTCTAGGAACAAGGAAGAGCCAGGGATGGTACATGTCGTGCTACGTGCCTATTGTCTTGCGCTTCTCAAATGTTGCGATTTTGTTCATGCGCGAGTGATAAATGAGTATTTCTACGAGGTAAGTCACACGACTTTCACATGTACATATACGATCGCTAAAGCCATATAGGAGGAAGACTTTGTCACCCAATTGTACAACCGCAGTTTGCTGTCGCAGTTCGACCATGAATATTTCCGCAATCTTTTGGACCGGGCGATTTCATGGGTAGATGAGCAAGGGGATAGTGTCGATGGAAAACTGAAAGAAGCAATAAAGTGCCGGTTGGTCTTTCGGCGTGATTTTCTTCTTAGTTTGGACCAGGATCTCGATATCATACAGAGTCGGTCAGCCAGTCGCTTCTCATCTTGTCTGTCGCAATTGGGCCCCATAACGGAATCGGTGCCACTGGGAAGACCAGTACCTGAAGCGTTTAGTTGGAAGATCCAACGAAAGCTGGCCAGCACAGTTCCCCCTCGACCAATGGTAAAGATAAGCTTTGAGGATGCGCTGGCGCATTTGAAACGGTTGTGCCAAGATGCCATTGATCTGCTGGAGGTCCTGGATTACTCTGGACCCCATAACCTCAAGGTATGCTCTTGAAGGAACCAACGGAATATTTTTCTTCTGGCTACTCATCCTCTAACGTTGCTAGGTGGCCGTTTGGACTCTGTTGTCTCGGAAGCCCCAGCCGTCAGTTTATATTCGATCACTGGTTCAATCTATGATTCTGAGTAACATGATGGTTCTGGGAGCTGTGCCAGTGAAGAAGTTCTTATATGATGAGCTTGCGGAAATCGTCCTCCCTTCAAGCACGCTTCTGCAAGCCAACACAGACGAGACGGAAATGCCGACCGACCCTCGCTTTCAGATAGCCAACCACATGGATGCTTTTGTTAAACGCTTTGCTCAGGTGCGATGCTGCATATATCTCCCTCAATTTGTTTCTCCCGTGAGCTAACCTGGGGAATAGCCATTTGTGGACACTTTCCGAAGTGCGTGTCTCAATCGCTGCCGTATTCGTCGGACAGTATGTCATACAATTGTTGACTGGGACAACCTACAGATGGAGGTATCTATGCGGTCTCTCTCATATGCGGTACCCTGATACTAACTGCTTCGTAGGCCGAAGACCTCGATGAACAACTACGCACGCTGAACAACGAACCTCCCCTTATGCTCCAAAACGGCGACGCTACCTATTCATACCCGCTCAGTAGCTGGGCCTACCACCAGAAACTGAACCAGTTCCGGCTCGTTATCCAGCTCGGATTCGAACTTTCTATCTATTCTCCCGAGGAACTACCAGGAATGTACTGGTACTTATCCCACATCTGCTCCACTCATCTCGGCCACATTGACCGAATCCGCACATTTACCGTTGCTACCGCGAAGCGCAACCTGACCGCTCTGGCGGGAAAGAAACGCGATGCCGTCGAGCGACATGCCGCTTTACAGAATACGCTCCGTCTTCTCGAAAGACTTACTACGCAAATCGTCGCCGTGGATGCCTTTGCCATATCGTTACACGCTCTATATGTTTTGCTGGCTCGCCATGAAGTTCTGCCCACAGCAGCGGCCGCGCAGGCATACTCCAGCGAAAGATTACGGTATGAACTCCGCATGAAGCCCTTCCTATCGATTACTTTGCCGGAACTTGTCCCCTTCGACGAATTCCGGCGAGAGGCTATCTTAGAAGGGGACAGTGATGAGACAGTCCTGGAGCGTGCCACGAAAGCCATCTCTGAAGCCCGCAAAGCTTGGGAAGCGACCCTCGCCAACGGTGCATTTATCCGGGATCCTCAAGGCCAGGCGAATCAGACCCTGGCCATTGAAGAAGATTGGAAGAAGGATATTAAGAATACGTTGCGGGCCTGCATCGGGGCTAGCATTGCCATTGAAACGGTGAAGAAGGCATTGACCGCGCTCCGTGCATCCACCGATGTTGTTAACCTTCAGGTGAGTATTCCCGACATGGGTTCCAAAGCGCGTTGGCATGACTGGTGGGTTGTACCCCAAATAACGCCGAGGCCGAGCGGCTCTCAGACATGAAACTATACATCCTGGTGTTTACTGTACTCTGATGAACAACTTGATTTGATGTGATGATGAATGTCATGTACCCGTCGTTCGTTCTGGCAATGCCCTCCTCATGTATGATGGATGATGAAGTTATGTACATAGAGTAATGGTATTAGAAATTCCCCGAAGTCAGAGGGAGGCGTACCTACTACCGAGGGGTAGATAAATAGAATTTCTCCATTTACCCACTTTTATTAACCTTGGGGATCAGGCCATATGCGACGAGAGCCTCGGGATCACCTGATATGCAACTGCAGCTCAATTCCCGTGCAGAGGATCGGCACATGGGCAACATGCCATCCCGTTGGGGAACAAACAAGCTTATTGTGTTGGGTTTCAAACGTCCCATTGTTTTTTTGTTTTTGTTTTTCCCTTGTCTTTCTTTCCCCCCCAAACGCTGGGAACCGAGGCTGAAACGGGCAAACTAAACGAGGGAGAAGAGGGGAGGAGAACTGGAACCAGTATTGATCCTGACGTTATCTTCCCGGATATGACTTCATCGCCGGCATGAAGGGAAAACGAATTCGATTCTCGCAAACTCTCTTTGATTGAATGGAATGCAATATGATTTGATTTGAATCCTTTGGCCTGTATACATCTCAGCAAATATCCAATTTGGTCAACACAAGCGAACAAGACCAAGACGATCTGCACTGCAACCACGCCATCTCGGGAGTCCTGGTTGGCCGGTGCGCCGTTGCTCTTGGCCGCTGTCATTAACGGGCCCCCAATGCTCCAATGATAGTCCACTCAACGGACCTCCGTAGGGTACTATTGCTATGTCGTTCTTGACCTTGGGGACTTAATATCAAGGAACTATTACTATCACAGATCAGAAACCGGAACCGGAAAAGCCCTCCGGAAATCGATCCGTTGACTTTCTTTTTCTGCTTTTGGTGATCTGAAGCAAAAGAACCAACCAAAGAGAGAAAAAAGAAGGGCAAAAAAAAGAAAGGAGGGAAACTGTAATCGGGGGACCTATTATTAGGTGGCTGATTCCTTCTGGACTCTCAGATTCGGTGCGAACATTCCGGCGCTATCTTCATGGGGTTGAACGATGATCAATTGAGAAGTGGATTTGTTTCTCGTGCGCCTCATTCGTGCTCCCTTCGGTCGCGGCTCGTCGGTGGCCTCGCTTGACCTTCAACGATCGGATCTCGAAGGGCTGAAGCTGAGGCTTGCCGTTTCGGTTGGACCATCCAGTAATAATAATAGCAGTCTCTTTTATGCCCAGCTACGCGTGCTGTCTCCGTCGCCCTACGCACTCCCCCCCGGGATCTGTTCTCCTCCCCTTCCATCGCGCCCGACTTCGTCCTTATCCCCCATTAGGCGGGGCGACAAGAGGACGTTTCGGTCGCCATCGCAATGCCTACATATCCGATCCGACGCCGGCCTCGCGAGTGCAAAACTTGTCTACCATGTCGCGCCAGTAAGGTTCGCTGCGATCGCAACGTCCCGTGTGGGAACTGCGTTAAACGTAACTTTACTTGTTCTTACGGTCGTCCGCCGCCAACTCAACCCAAACCTTCGCTCATTCCAGAGCCTACCTTTTCAGCTACCGCCTCAACTGCGTCTACGCCCCAATTGCCTTCCGGTTCAGCCTATATATCTTCTAGTCGAGACGATGCCCCGATTCCCACCTACAGTGCAGAGCCGGCCTCGGATGATGGTCTGTCGGAAACCGTGACGATTTCTCAGTTCGAATGGGACGAGGTGAATTCGAAGATGCGCGCGATGGAGTCAATATTGGCTAGTCTGAACTCGCTTTTTCAGGCTCATACGGCGAGGAAATCCAGCAACCCTCGTTCCGAGCAGTCGGTGACTGAAGACGACGGCAAGTCGCCGGCCCCTCAGGGGATCTATAACGAGAACACGATGAAAACGGGCTCCATCCACATCGGCGCAAAATCCGCTTTGATAGATATTCTGGATAGATCAAAAGGCTCGGAGGGTACGGCGGCCGCGTTGCCGAAGGAAGACTTGCTGGCAGAATTGGCGATGGAAAACGAGGCTGCCTCGTATCCTTTCGTCGACCTTTGGTCGTCTGATCCGTACACCTTCAACATCGCCGGGGTCTGTGGCGTGTTGCCGGATGACGAACAATGTCGCAGGTGGGTGGAACCGGCTCTGAGTCTTTGGCTGGACTCGTTCCTGTAGAGTGAGCCCTTCGCTGATCATGGAGGTCTTCCGCAGGTTTCTTCGTTTTTACAAAGACATCGGCTCAGTACTATACCCCGTACTCCCGGACGTTTCCAAATTAGAATACAACACAAATGAACTCTTGAAAAATAGGCTGAAGGCAGGAGGTACATATCGACCGGACGTGAACGGTCTGATGAAACCGTTTGGCATGAGTTTACCTTTCCTTAGCCTCCTCTTTGCCGTTTTAGCTTCAGGTTGCCAATTATCCGACTTGCCGTTGAAGGAACGGGAGTTGACGTCGTGGGTATATGGTGTGTGCGACCTTCTGCTGACGACCGAAAATCTTTGGGGCTCACATCTTTCCTAGTTTCGTGTTCCTACCAGTGCCTGCGGATGATGAACTATGTTTCGCAGCCAACGGTGGAAATAATCCAAATTCTGCTAATTATCAGTAATGTGCTGTCATATAACATGAACGCTGGTGCTTCTTATACCTTACTCGGTGAGTGAGACGTGGTGTGCAGAACTTCGTGAGTGCCAAGCTAACGACGATCCTTACCAACAGGGATGACAGAGCGGATGTGTATGAGTCTCGGGCTGCATGTTGAAACACCAGGGTTCTCGCAAAGCGTCACAGCGTCTCGGAGAAGAGTATGGTATGGCATCCTCTGCAACGCCCCGTTTGGAAGATACACGAAATCCTAACTCTCGCAGGTGGGCGATGGCTTTCCAGAATAGCCATTTCTCCTTAGCTTACGATCGACCATCCATCACTATGGTAAGCCAGCCGGAAATTCCCTATGATAGGAAATCAATGCCTGGCCATCGCTCCTACTTCGAAAGCCTCTGCCGCATTATCTCTGTGGTGCTGGAGATGCTGCGGGGGCTTATGCTGTCGCACCATTCTCACCTGCGGTACCATGAAATCCGCGAGTATAAACAGCGAATAGAGCGCATTCTTGCAGATACTACCCCTCATTTGCGTTATCGGGAACGCTGCGTCACCTTGGCCGAACACATTGAGCGGACCGAGTTGCGGCTACACTCGTCTTACTATATCTCAGTCATGTGTCGAGTATCTTTGGACCCAGACGCCCCGCTAGATGACCAGCGGCGTGCGGTAGTCCGAGAGGACTGTATAACCAATCTCATGAATACGATCGAAGCTTTCATTGAGCTGCACTCACTTCATTCCCACTGCTCGCGTAGCTGGGTCAGTCTTCAGCGGACCATCGCATCCGCGTTCTTGCTGGTTGCCAACAATAACGACCAAATTCACCCACGGACGTGGGAGTTGATTGAGAAATTAGAGGCAGTCATCGCCGAGCACGTGAGTGGGGATGAAAATGTAAATCTCCACGCTCGGACAGATTCGGCCAGGCATTTGGCATCGTCTCTCCGCGCTCTCCGGGAAGTTAGTGCTGCATTCTATTCTAGGAAGAAGAAGAAGAAGAAGGAACTAGGCCTAGCCCCGGAAGCTATTTCGCCGAAAACCGTGTTCACTTCACCAGCTGTCACCGCCTCGTCGCCTTATGCTGCCGGATACAGCGTGAGTTCCTCCGAGGACGGGCATATTGACAACATTTTGAATCAGGTGTCGGATGTGATGTTGTTCCCTACTCTGAACATGGGGAATTCATGAGCCATTGTAACCAACATAGTTTCCCAACCCCTCCATTGTGGATCTGACACGAGGGCTCCCGCCCGCTATAATGCGTGGGCGCCTAATTGGAGCCGCGGTGAATATCGATCATTCTGTATAACCCGCTGGAAAGGAACGCGTTCGATAGAGCTGGAAATTTTGAAGTAAGGCTGTGTGAGCAACATACACGTTCGCCACAATCATTTTGCACATGAGAGATCAGCGGACAAGAGGCATGCTTTTCATTGTGGTGGTCCTCCCCGTGTGATCTGGAGGTTGACGGTGAGAGCGAGATGGACAGCCTCGCGACCGTCGGACCGCAAAAGGCATGGAAACCGAGTGGCGTCTGAGACTGGGAGGGGAGGAATAGAGGAGGAGGGGTATTTGTAGCTTACTCGGCGGCGCGCGACCGACGCTTAGGACGTCGGAGATTGAGATCCTCTTTCACGGAAATGTTTGGGGCTACGTTTTGGGGATGGAGATGAGGCGGACCCCAATCGCACGTGGCCGAAGGAAAGCCGATTCGGCCGAAGGCGGTCCGTGGTTATGGCCTGAGGTCGAAACTCAATCGGTGTAGCTGAAGCAAATCCACCTTCAGTCGACGTGCCCTATAGCGATGCAGTGTCAGGGCATTCATTCTCCCTCTCCCTACCACTACTCATCCACACACCCCTTTGGTGAAATGAATACTACTTCGTATTCCCCACCGTATGTTGTCCACCTGCAGTCTTCATTTCATATGAGTCCAATCTATTTTCTCTTTGACCCTCTGTCGTGTGACGGTCACCTGAAATTGCGACAGCTACCCAGTCGAGAGGGTACGTACATATATCTATTTCAATAAATTAATAATGAGTGGGAATCTGAGCTCGCTTTAGACTTTCCCTCTACGGCCGAGGGCACCACTTCACTGTCCGGAATTCCGAGATCGTGGCAAAAACGGGGCCAAGATACTCAAAATAAACAGAATTACTTTGTAGCGCATCGAAGGTCCATGGCAATTGAGACAGTTCGGAGATATCCTCCCCACGGCCATACGAACCGTCTCGGAGCCGAGCGGGAAACACATGAACTCACCATGACTCTTTTGTCCTGGACGGGGTTAGCAAATATGAGGAACGGTTTGTGGGGTTCCTCGTTTCGGAACCGAGATCGACAAATATAGCTTTGAACTATGAAGAAAACCGGTTATTCCAGCTTCCGCACTTCGCCCATTTCCCTAAACTACCACTCAACCCAACGATCGAGATCGGTTCCTCCTGTCAGTGTACCCGCGGATGGTCGCACATGGGAGCTGGACGGGAAATCCGCCAGCCATATGCATTCTAACACCGACCGCGAAGGATTGATCAGGCAATCCAGACATCGACTCAGATGCTGAAACCGACCCCTTCCAGTTTCCTCTCGACGATTATATGGCTCTAGGGGATGATGGGGAGGACCAAACGCACGGATACATAAGGGAAACACGAGCTTGGCTTGAGCAATGGGTGGTATGATTCTGCTTTGTTGGTCGGGCCCAATTGGTCAAACACCGACACGGACAAAACACAGCAGATGAGCCACGGAATCGGTCCAGGTACTACTACTAGTATTGCGGACATATGGCCACCTCGGTGCAAGCGCCTTTCAACAGCTGTCCAATGCTTGATCTCCGCTCGGGAGGTGTACCCATTTTCCAGAGCCCAACTGGAATAAACACCAGCAATGATCATCTCGCCATGGATGGAATGAATAAAACCGCTGTTGCAGTTAGTGATAAAGTAACTGGAAGAGGGGCTAATCTTGACTACTCTAGGTACGTGGGTTCCCAAAACATACTCTTTCGAGATAACGCCGGCGACAACGAAGAAAGATTAAGAATATGGCGTTGCACAACTGCCTCGATGACGGAGCTTGGCCCATGTAGACATGTGTGTAATCGTAGTCGATCAAAGTCACTTCTACCCATCCTGACAGATGTTGGCGTTCCGCATTATAGTTAATATCTCAGTATTCTTTTTGTTATATACTACGGATCTGAATCAATATTTGGTATCAGGAGGATCCAAGAGTCGATCAATCATTCATAGAGGGCATTCTTCATCTCAAACTTGTCGGAAAAGAGTACCGGGGGCTACTGAACACTGTTGGTCCACTAATTGACCCCCCCACTCTCGCCATATCCACTTTCCTTCATCCTATGATACGGTTCTTTGGGCCTCCCTTCATTTACAATCGCTGGAGAAGGCAGACAAGGTGACATTGCTCTCTTGAATAAGTTTGAAGTACGGAAGAAGCCGTTACTTTCTCGGATGGTCTGCGCAGATCTTCATTCAGGGGGTCGAATTCGGATGAGCAGCGCCATATCATTTCACTAAACAAGTGAAGTCCCTCAGGCGGGAGCTCAACTAGATCCGATCCGAGCAAGCTCTGTTCTCGGAATGGGACATATTGCTACCCTGTGGCGTAGTTTTATACTTTGCAAGATGGTGAACTTTATCGTTTCAATCGCGCGCGATTGAAAGGAGGCGATGAAGCGTGGATTGCGTTCGTGGGAATTGATATCAGCCATGCGGAATGTCACTATTTCTTGCCTACGGAATTCCGAGGATCCTGATCTTGTCCATTCTTCACCGACGACGCGTCCACAAGTTGTCGAGACATTCCGGAGATTACAGCCGATAAGGATGGTATGCCGTGAATGGGTGTCAGGGTTGAAGCGAGCATTCAGGAAAGCTTCGCAGAGTTTGCACAGGTTTCTAAATTTGTCCAAAAGCTTTGGCTGGATCTTCACAAGCGAAATGACACTGGATAAAGACCCCTAGGATTACTGGCTACGGAATAGACCGCTCGGTGGATGATACTGTTTAGTTCTAGGCACAGGGCTTAGTCGGGCCCTTTCGGCTCTTAGTTTCACGGCACTCTCCGACGACGATCCACCATCGCCCCCCTTTTCGCATTGGAAATGCACGGGACCAAGTGTGTTATTGTTTGGACCTGGCGTCGAGGGAATGGACTCGACTGACACATTCTTACCCCCCTACCTAGCCCCCGCGTCCTTTGCGGCAGTTGTCCGTCGCACAGGACGCATACTGAAACGTAACCCTAAGTCTATGAATCGCTTGTAGCGAGTCAGGCACATTCTCAGCGGAACTCCTACATAACGAGGATAACATGAGACCCAATCATGTTTTGCGAGAGTCATATATTCCAAGATTTACTTTCTTTGCCTTTTAGATCGCTCATCAAATATGGATCTGGACCTACCACCTGTTAAAGTGATGCTGGCCGTGGGGTCACCTCCCGTATAACTGGGGATATTTTATATCCGCATTGCGTACGGTTTATTTTCTGGGTGTAGTTTATCAATGACCCATGCAGGTTTCAAGTCACAACCATGAAACTCACCAGGCTAGCGGTGCTGAATAACCTGGCAACCCTGGCTATCGCCTGGCTTCCCACGACGGACAAGACTGTCACCTCCAGCAATGGAACTGATCTTTTCAAAGCCTCACATGGAAAGATTCGGGGCGTTAACTTGGGCACACAGTTTGTGTTTGAACCTTGGATTGCTACGATAGCCTGGTCTGAGTTAGGCTGTGAAGAACAACAATCCGAATTTGACTGTGTGATGAAGCTGGGCCAGGATGCAGCCAACAAAGCGTTCGCCCAGCATTGGAACTCATGGATTACCAAGGAGGACATCTATGAGATCCGTAGCTACGGTCTGAACACGATTCGCATCCCTGTCGGCTACTGGATGAATGAAGATCTTATCTATAACGACAGCGAGCATTTTCCACGGGGCGGATTTGCGTACCTCGAGAAGCTGTGTGGGTGGGCTAGCGATGCTGGTCTGTACATCATTATTGACCTGCACGGGGCCCCTGGCGCGCAGGTTGCAAAGAACGCCTTCACGGGCCAGTTCGCCGATACGCCTGGGTTCTATGTGGATTTTCAATATCAACGGGCGCTCGAGTTCCTCGAGTGGATGGCGATCAAGGTCCATATCTTGCCCAGTTTCCGGAACGTGGGAATGTTGGAGGTCGTGAACGAGCCGGTGCAGAACCCCGAGGTCACGGCTACGTTGCGTTCCACCTATTACCCTAATGCTTTCCATGTGAGTGGGCTTCATTGACCTGTGTGTATATACTGTCATACTGAGAAACCCCCGAACAACAGACCATCCGCAGAGTGGAAGGAGCACTCGGCATCGACAAAAAGGACTACCTACATATCCAGATGATGGACAGTGCCTGGGGTGCCGGGGATCCGCACGAGCACCTGACGGATGACTACTACGCGGCCTACGACAACCACCGCTATCTCAAATGGGATCCTCACGTGGAGGTCTCCAAAGACAGCTACATCAAGGCCTCGTGTAACGACAACGTGGCGATCAACTGGCCTGCTATTGTTGGTGAGTGGAGCTTAGGGGTCCCCGATAACGTGCAGGAGACACCTGAATGGGCGCCATATTCCAACCTGGACTTTTACAAGACGTGGTTTGCCGCGCAGGTGAGGAACTATGAACAGCACCAGGGGTGGATTTTCTGGACCTGGAAGACCCAGCTAGGCGAATATCGGTGGTCTTATCGCGGTACGTATCGGTTTGTCCTTTGGGAAACGTCGAGCTGACCATAGCAGATGGAGTCAAAGCGGGAGTGATTCCGGCCGACCTCAACGCAGTGTTTCAGGAAGACGTGTGTAAAGGTCGAGGCGACCAGGTTTTGTAATGTTTTAGGATGATCCAGTAATGATGATGATGATGAATACGATGGTTTTAGTAGTCAGCACCGCGAGGCAGACTTTGCTCTGTAATAAGTAAATGGCCCCCAAGACCCCATTGCAACCATGAGCGTTGTCAGACTGGCTCGCAGGATCGCCCAATAGCCCTAACTGCTTAAACACCAGTCGACCAGCCCAGTAAGATCAACAGTGAGCATACTCCACATCAGGCTCGGGGGCAAGCTCCTATCACGATCTCGATAGATAATACAATAAGGTACGGGAATGACGCATCTCGGCGATTTCTTGTGTCGATCCACCTGAGCTACTTTAGTTAGATACCGAAACAATGACTCAGAGAACTACAATAGTATAGTATGATCAGTATCTATAACCACCTCTCAAACACAATTCACCTCGACAACCCCCCAACATACCAATACCCAACTACAAACTACAACAGAAAAAAGAAAAAAACGATGACCACCAACCAGCCCCTAGGACCAGAAGTCCTCATCCCGCCAGCACAACCACCAACCCCCCACCCTCTCCCTGGCCGGACCATAACTCTACACCCCATCCAAGAATCCCACGCCGGGGAACTCTGGGAACTTGTCGGCGGCGCCACCAACCCCCGAAAAGCCTCGGTCTGGACCTACCTGCCCGAAGGCCCCTACCCGGAAAGCACATACCCCGAATTCGAAGCCTCCATCCACAGCAAAACTACCAGCAAAGACCCCCTCTTCTACACGATCCTCGACAACCGCACGCTAAAGCCCCAAGGCTGGATCACGCTCATGAGCATTGTGCCCGAGCACCTCCGCATCGAGATCGGGAATGTGCTCTTCGCCCCGGAACTACAGCGCACGACCGGCGCCACCGAGGCTGTGTATCTGTTGCTGCGGTATGCATTCGAGGAGCTGGGGTATCGACGGGTGGAATGGAAGTGTAATGATCTCAATGAGGGGAGTAAGCGGGCGGCGAGACGGTTGGGGTTTGTGTTTGAGGGTGTGTTTAGGGAGCATATGGTTGTTAAGGGGAGGAATAGAGATACGGCGTGGTTTTCGTTGCTGAGGCCGGAGTGGGAGCAGGGGGTGAAGGGGGGTTTGGAGGGGTGGTTGCATCCGGGGAATTTTGATGAGACGGGCAAACAGAGGAGGGGGTTGGAGGGTTTGAGGGAAGAGATTTTGGGGTCTGTGTCGGGTAGATAGAAAGTTACCTTTCTGGTCGACCTATTGTTGTTGTTGTTGTTGTTGTTGTGATCTAGGGTTTAGACATATCAGTAGACATACGCGGAACCGGCGATAATGATAATGATAAATCACCCAGGAACCGGCCACGGCAACGGTACCGGGATGCAGCCGAACATTAAAGACAAACAATGGGCAAAGAACACAGAGTTGCATTCTTCAGACAAAGTAAACGACATAACACAATGGCCACCGCCTTCCTCATCCTAGATATCCAGCAAGGAGTCACGGGCCAGATCTTAGACGACTCGACCCCGGAACGAGAATCCTACATCCGCCGCCTCGCTTCCGTGGTCAAAGCCGCCCGAGAGAAGTCTGTCTGGATTGTTCATGTGAAAACAGCGTTTCGTCGTGGCTTCCCTGATCTACATCCTCGCAATCCCTCGGCACAACGAGTCATTCAAACAGGGAAGTACATCGAGGGAGACGAAAGCGTGGAGTTCCACCCGGCAGTGGCGCTTCATGAGAACGACATTGTAATCACTAAGCGACGGGTGTCCGCCTTTGGAGGCTCCGACCTTGATGTGGTCCTTCGCAGCTCCCGCATTGAGAATCTTGTTGTGGCTGGCCTGATCACTAGCGGGGCAGTGCTGTCCACGGTTCGACAGGCAGCCGATCTGGATTATCAGTTGACGGTGCTCGAGGATCTCTGTTTGGATCGAGACCAGGAGGTGCACGACGTCCTCATGAATAAGGTCATTGCAAAACAGGCTAATGTGCTCGGATCCGATGAGTGGCTGGCCCGTCTGTAGGGATATGCAAGGGGTTATCCGTGGATGGGGAAGAATTGATAGAGCCTTGGTCTTGCGGTAAGGGTCCTTGAGATAGTTTACTTTCGTTCACACATTTCTAATAGCTCCTTAGATACGAAGTATATGGTTCGCGAGAGCATTGATAATTTTTTCTCATAGGACTAGCCTTCCCTCCTCCGCGAATATGACGCCTGTCTTCTACATTCTTTGGGCTCTCTCTCTTAGTGGCTACCGATAAGTATTTGGTTCTTCTCTGAACAGTTGTGAGACGCATTCGGCACTTCAACGCAAGGGGTTGCGCGTTTCCTCCACGTGTTGGTCCAACCAGCTGTGGCCGCTTTTTCATACGTTCACGATAGGTCTCATGCACTCTGTTTGCCGAGTGCTCGGCATGAGGATGTATTCTCCGTAGAGTGAGCTGAGACACCACGAAATGTAAAATGACGACTCATTTGTTTGAAGTTGTGTTGTGGGTTCGAGCTGATATGGATCATCCCTAGAAAGGGTCCATACCAAGCAGACCTTATCTGAACGAAGCCAATGAAGTTAAAGTGACTTTAACCAATCAGTCCACAGAGCTGACGAGGTAAAAATGTTTTTAAGCACGAAGATTGGCACTAACGCGAGCAATCCAAAGCCACAATGCCAATTGATGGCTTCTGCATTCGGAAACATCGAACCCCAATTTTCCACCTGTAAAATCCTTAAAAGATAAAGCTGGTCGCACTTCAGTGGTTAGTCAGATCAATTTTACCAATTCGCATCACCTTGTTCAGTAAATGACGCCTTGAGTTGACAGATGTCTAGTCTTACGGCTGTTATAGCCTTCTTCATATGGCTCGGCCTAGTGCAAGCCAAGCTAGTCCGCGAGACACTGGAGTTCACCTGGGGGGTTGGCTCTCCCAATGGCGTCCCGCGGCAAATGGTTCTCACGAATGGGAAGTACCCAGGGCCTGATTTAATATTCGATGAGGATGACGATGTCGAGGTATCTCCAACACGGCAAACCTGCATACGGTAGTCGCTGACTTGGCCTAGGTACATGTCTTCAATCACTTGCCATTCAATACGACAGTCCACTGGCATGGTCAATCGTGAGATACTGCTATATCCACCTTCTAAATCTCGACTAATTCGGATCTCGTATAGAATGGAATCCGCTCCGTGGTCCGACGGTGTCCCAGGGCTGTCACAAGCGCCCATTCAGCCGAATTCATCTTTCGTATACAAGTTCAAAGCTTCCCCAGCAGGCACATTCTGGTTCGTGGTCTTGGAATATTCTACTTGCACTCCTAACCTAGTGCAGGTACCATTCGCACTTCAAAAATGTGATGCAGGATGGCCAAGTGGGAGCTCTTTATATTCGGTAGGACTTTCGCACTCTTGGCCGAGCGTAGCTCACGTTTACAGCCATAAGCCCGACGCTGCCCGGCCATACTCGATGATAGCCAAAGATGCCACTGAAGTGGCACAAATGCAGAATGCTGAAGCCAACTCAAACTTACTGCTCATAACCGACTGGACCCATTTTACTGCTCAGGAGTACTTTCAAGCCGAGATTGATTCAGGCATGAATCTCTTGTAAGTCCGAAGACACGGCAGGAAACGTCTGAAATTAGCTAGCTGATTCATGGAGTAGCTGTGTCGACAGTATCCTCGTGAACGGCAAAGGTTCCGTTTATTGCCCGGACGCCCAGTGGATGCAATCACTGGTTGGCCCCCAGATCGCCTTGGTGTTGGAAGGGACAAATCTGACCGACAGAGGGTACGCACTGCAGAAATCAAAGAATATGTTTGCTATGCCGCTCATGGCTAACTTGCGAACAGATGCCTAGCGCCCCCCTTACATAATGTTCAGGGTAGCTGGCCAAATCAAAAGCCTAGTGCTGTTCCATCTTCAATGCACAACAACTGCACCCCGTCGGATGGTGGGTTGCCTAGAATTGAGGTTGATGCTAAAGACGGATGGGCGAGTCTGAATTTCATTGGAGGACAAGCGCAGAAAGGAACTACTTTCTCGGTAGACAACCATCCAATGTGGATATATGAGGTAGACGGTCAGTTTGTGGAGCCGCGTCAATATGAGATGGTTGGGATGTACAACGGAGCTCGATACTCAGCTCTGGTCAAGCTGGATCAAACACCAGGAGATTATGCGATTCGAATCACGGATAATGGAGGTGACCAGGTTATCAGCGGATATGCTATCCTTTCCTACCGTGCAGCAAACACGACGCAGAATGTGACTCGACCAGAAGCACAAATTGGCCCCGAAACGAAGGGATACATTGACTACGCGGGGCAGAACACGTCTGCTAGCGTAAGGTACCTGAACTACACAGAGAACCTCCCAGCGTTTAATGTTCCCCTGCCACCGGCATTCGCGGACCTTACCCTGAAAACCAACATGAGACGTGTCAATAGTTCATATCAATGGTCTATCGGGAACGGAGTCCTATACGAGCCTGAAATCACGGCAGACACACCACTCATATTCGAGAAACAGCCACTGGATGTCATAGGATCGAATCACACGCTCCAAACACTTAACAACACCTGGGTGGACATCATTATACAGATCATATCCGACCCAGAAATGGACCCCATTCACCCACCCCACCCCATCCACAAGCACGGCAGCCGCGCCTATATTGTTGGGGACGGAATGGGCGTCTTCAACTGGTCGACTGTCTACGAAGGAATGCTTGAGAGACCTGAACTGTTCTACCTCGATAAGCCCGCGTTACGCGACACATTCACGACAAACACACTCACCGCAGCCTTGGACGGTGGAGTATGGATAGCGATCCGGTACTATGTCAGCGGGCCATTTCCCTCGCTGCTTCATTGCCATATCACGACGCACCAGGAGGGCGGGATGGCGTTGGCCCTTCTTGACGGTATCGATGTATGGCCTGAGCTAGCTACATCGGCAGAGGTGGTGAAGCTGCAGAATGCAGGTGAGCCTGCAGCATGATCTATGTTTTATGTCGTCTTTTACGTTTGCGTGCTGGCACACTTAACTTTAGCTTAAATGATTCATTTCGGGTTATGATCGCGCACATGGAGTATCCTATTTGCTTTAAACTTACCATAGTTTACTTACTTCACTTTCCACTACTGCCGCGTAGACTGGAGCTTTGTGATCCACTAGTTGTATGTTCCGTAACTAGCTATACACTATTATAAGTGTAGTTAAGGGAGATAGACCAAGCCCCTGAACACTTAATTTCCCAGAGAACTAGACAACACTCTGCATCAAGCAAAATCAATAGCCACAAAAGCGGAACTTCGTCGCGAATATTCTGAAATTGAACGAATGGTCTGATAAACAGGATCATCGGTGCGATTTTCTTGTAGATGTAGTTGGATGATGATGACAGCATATAGCTTTGTCCAACGTGTGCTGTTTCCAACAAAATGTCTAAGGACGCGGGTATTACTGTATACTGATTTCACCCTGCATACACATAAGATAAGTGTTATGCATGGATAGTAATGCAGCCCTCTCGTCTTTAGTTTTTCTTGGAAGCACTACGAAGTGTGGGCTGGGTTGTATGATAGTAGATTAGAATTTTCACAATTCAATAGTTAGTGTACGCGCGCGCGCGCGTGTGTGTGTGCGAGTGTGAGAGATGGTTCTCTAAAGTGTATATACGTGCGATAAGAGGAAAACCATTGCAACGGTTTCTGTCAAGGAATGGAGGGCCGTCGAGGGCTTGGTTTCTCTCTACAATGTTGAAAGAATTAGAGCAATAGGGATACTTGATTCATCTAGCCATGGACAAGAAGACCTAGAGTGCTAGAGACTACGAGTGAAGAGTATATGATCTGTACGGTGCCTTCCCTGAATCTACCATCACAGGAAGGATGAAGTGCGTGCGCATAGAGACATGGTATAATGTAAAAAAAACCTAGTATTTGGGAATCTAATCGGCCACCGAGCAGAATCTCTCTGAAACTTGCATAGCTGCGGTTTAGTACGAGTCTGGTCCACTGATCCTATGACCTTGGTGATGATTGAATCCTGACAAAGGCCCCTGCTCGGTGGCCGATTAGTCCTAAAACAGGGTCAGTGATATATGGATCTCAAAGATATAAAGTCGTCCTCAGTTTCTGGTTAATGTCCTCATACTCGAGCATCATCGCGTCTACTTTGCCCATACTTCTTCTTTTCTTCGACCTTCTATCTCAAAGACAGACAGATTCTACACTCGAAAGCAAAATGTTCAAGCTTGGAACCGCCATCGTGACTGCTCTTGGTCTCCTGATGGCAGGAGTAGCGAGCGGAGCACCCGCCGAACCTGTGTCTACGATGGAAAATCCTACTGTAAGTACAATCACTAGTGACAATTTGCCCGTGAATAAAAGTCCCAAGCCACATCTAACAAGCCAACCTTTCAGGTCACTATCTACCAGGACATGATGTACAGAGGCAACTCCGAGGGTCTCCGCGAGGCCAATGTCTGCTACTCCTTCCCGGCAAACACTCCATGGTACGTACCGTCCATATCTGCATCGGAAGTCTGATTCAATTCCATTCTAAAGAGAAGAATAGGTTCCACAATATCTCCTCCATGAATATCCGGGATGGGTATACCTGTGACGCCTACATGGGGTTCGACTGCAACCAGATGCTTAGACAGGGTCTGCAGGGCGAGTACCGGAACCTTGATATCGATGGTATGAACAATATCATCGAGAGCATGAGGTGCAGGCCTATTTAGGCTTGCTTGTCTTGGGGGAAAGGGAAAAGGAAACGGGACACTTCGATGGGCATCTGTCAGGTGATTGTGGGGATCATTTTGGACATTACTTTCTTTTATAAGGCTCATGAGTGGTCTCTGTGTGGGTTCACTATGTGGTTGAACGTTGAAGTCTTAGTTTGAGTGCAGATGAATGGATTACTCTTTGATAGGACTGTGCTTTGTGTTTGGTTGTGCTGGCTCTCTCAGGGCTATTGTAGTGGTTCTGATGGAATATTACGCTATACTCGCGGA